TGATGTGGGAGAAGCTCAAGCTGCGCAGAATCTACACAAAACCCAAGGGCAGAGCGCCTGACTATTCGGCACCTGTCGTGCTGCGTTCCTACGCATGCACAGTCGAAAATTTCGTAAGCATTGTCCTCTGGATTTCCAAGAATTATACTAACGACACAGTGTGACGCTATTCATCGCACAATCAAGGACGATTTCAAGCACGCCATTGTGTATGGTCGCTCAGTGAAGCACCAGCCGCAGCGAGTCGGTCTTTCGCACGAGCTCAGTGATGAAGACATCGGTAAGGCTACTGAAACAAACACTCAACATGAATTTCAAAGCTGACCAGCTACAGTGTCGATCGTCAAGCGGTAAAGGATTTATGTCAACTCCTTGACCCTCATAGCCCAAAGCGGCGAGATGATCCAAGCGCTGGGGTGGTCTGTGCCAGCCTATCTTTGCGCCTCCGCACTCTGACAGGTTTCTAGGATATCCGTAAGACGCCACCGTATCCGAGCGTGGTTGGATAGACTCGTTCACGGAAACATAATCAAGGGGGAGGAGAATGTCTAAGTCCACCTTTTGACAATCAAAATCAGGCATGCACATCACTGCTGATCTTTGGTGCATCTCAAGGTATCGCTCTTGATTCGATGAACTCGAGTTAGGCTTCAAGGGTTACACAAGCCCAGGGGTACGCACGAGGCGAAAAGCCATCGGTCTTTCTGATATTCTTGGCATCATTGGTAGTTTGTGGCCCTTGAACCAGTCCATATCGTTATGATTACCCTTTTTTTTTTATGATTGAGGTTATTTGTCCATTCAGCGTCCTCAAAAAGTTCAGATTTTTATGGCATCCTCGTATTGTCTAAGAAATAAAAGCCATCAAAAACGGTCTACTGGTTCTTCCCTGCAATTTCAACATTGAAAAAGACAGTTTGTGCCTTATTTTCCCCCATATAACGAAAAATCCATCATGTCAGACCAATCAGCTCCTCTGATCGATTCGTATTACTTGAGTAAAAATCAATGCATCATGCGACTTCTTATCGCCATAGTATAGACCCTATGTACAGATCCGAGGACGCCTGCATGGACAATTTATTTTGATGACATTCCGATTGGCATGTTCCCCTTGCCATTACTTCCCGTCCTGCACAGCATCCTTGCCACTTATTCTAATGTTTATAAGATTGTCACTGGTGGCTTGATTTTCTTTGTTCGCATTGCTTATCCCCCGGGCCCATTTTTACTTTTGAGGCTGACGAGTCAGACCATAAAAGGCCTAGGCCTCTGTGTTTGCGCCGATCGCAACACTCTCTACTCTGTAGCTGTCAGCTCGAAAGCTCCGAAACGAACTTGATAGCTTCGACGGAAGAGCCGGAAAGGTAATTATGGTATGCATACAACGGACTCCATACTCCGGTGCAGAGAAAGGCCGCGACTCCACGCATTGACCTACTGCTAATAGCTTAACGGTGATCATGACAGGATCGCTTACTCCGTATATGTATCAAAGCCACAGGCTTTGGGTTGCCATGACATGTGTAATAAACCCGGCATTACCAGTCTAGCTTCCGATAGGCCTAAAGGGGGTATTATGACTATAATAAGTCGAAAATGATAGGGGAGAGATCAAAATGGATCTGTCAACTGACTAGCACGTTTTCCTTAGCTTCTAATCTCTTGGCTTCTGCTCTGCAACTACTTACCGAAATTTGAGGGCGGAAAGAAGAAAAAAAAAAAAAGTACAGATCTGCATATGCACAGGATTGACATGGATGCAAACCAAATCATTTCAACCAACCAGAAAAAAGCAAACAGTGAGGCAAGGTAGTGGAAGAGATTTTAAGAAAAGAAGCGGTGAATAAGAGATATTGGTCGAATTATGAATGTTTATCTGATCAATTCTCATCCACTCGGTACAGATGGTACATTTTTGACGGGAGTGCATTATTTGCCCAATAGGGGGGTTTTACCGTTTACGTCTACTCCGTGATTCTCATGAACCCTTTGCGGAGACAATTCTAGGTGGAGAATCTCCCGCACATCGTCGATTTAGTGAAAATGAGAAAGGGGGCTGTTCACAATCTGGTCCGTTCTCAGATGCACGATCGGCATATACAATATACGGAGAAGGTACGGAGTACTCCGTACGGAGGACTGAGGTATGTTGTATGAGAGATATGTACGTATTAAATTTCTTGTATACTTCATCAGGTGACTGTGTTGGCACCGATCGCCCGCATACCTTTAACGTACGCTGTACACTGTTCTCTCGTGGAGGATCCATCGGTCTTCCCCGTCGCATTGCATTGCATGAGCCATGCTCTTCCCCGGAGTAAGCATTCTTCCTATGGTTTTCTTGGTGATATACGGGAGCCCCCTGTATGGAGTTGATGATGGTGTTTCGCCTAAAGGAGTATTCTTCCAATATAATCAGTTCTCTATACAATTCTATCCTTTCTGCATCATTCTACGTTCCGGAGATACCTCGGGCAGGATTCAAATTGCAGGTCAATCGGTACCTGAGTCGAGTAACACTGACCCTTACAGTTGTGTATCCCAACCCTAACAGGAAATTTCTCCCCTTGAAAACAGCCAAGAACGGCCCAAATTGAAAGAAGCAAATATACGACTTGACCCGAGAATTTTGATCTTGACCGGTCTAGACTTGTTCCTGCTCCTTCTCCGAAATAGCGAAAAGCAAGGCTTTTACCTTCAAGAAAAAAATCTCTCCAATAATGGCGTCAGTCCAGGATCTACCCCGATTCTCCCTCCACCCCCATTAGTGAATGTAATTTTAAAACTGTGCTAAAATTAAATTCTTTTAAATTTCGTCACACATTTCTTTTTTTTTTTCTCTTGATTTCACTGGCGGAAAGCCGAAAAAATATGACGGTCATAAGCATAATGATTGGTTCTATGACTAAATCAGCAAGCATATGAATCATACGAATTGAAAGCCCTGCATTGTTGGGGATGATTTGTCAGACCTGATATCTTTGTTTTGCTTTTTTTCTTTTCGCTTTTCCAGACGTTCAACAAAATCTTTTCAGATGTAATCAAGCAGGCGAGTTTTACACTCGGCTCCCTCGTGGTTATGTCGAACAAGCGGGGTGTTGGATGTTTGGGTAGTATTGTCCCAAAGGGATCCGTTCTATAGAGCATATGATAGACGCAACTCCGTACTTCCGGACTTTACGGAGCACATGCCTCTCCATCAATCTACTGCTCTATTGCTCTAGAGTCTCTAGTCTCTAGTCTCTAGTCTCTAGTCTCTAGTCTATCTATCTGTTTGAAAATGTTGAAGGTTCCCGGGCCGGAGGGGACCGCAGTGGGTCGTAGTGGAGCAGACGAGGGCTGAACTTCCAAGGTTCAAGAGAAAACCATCTTCCCCTCTTTCTTGACGACTGTGATAGGACAAATCCTCCAACTGTTCGGCCCTTGTATCGGACCTCGTATCAACCGCTGGTCAATGGAGACGGTAGATTCGTCCATCCAAAGATCGTCTTGTTGCTCCTCATTTGCTATTGTCATCTTGGGTCTGCGATATGAACTTCTATGGATCCCCTTTCCTATGGGATTTGTTCAATCTATTCGCGGGTTTGCTTCCCTTTCCTCTGCGCCGTCTTATGATTTGTGCTTAGAGATCAAACCTCGGACCCGGTTTCTTCACCTCCAGGTGAACCGTGCCCCCCGAAATACAACCTATGGGGACAGGAATTTGGAGGTTGGGGCTTTGATTCAACGGTTTGCTTTTTGATCCAAATGAAGATATCTCCAATGAAGGCTCTTTCCCATGGGAGCATAGTCGATGGTCTGTCTGCCGCTATCCTCCCGGTCCAGCCTGATCGCCGTCTTCGCCCGCGCATGAGCATTATGCGGGCTTTAGGTTCAGCGGTTTATCGATCCGCTACCCGGCTTTGAGCAAATCAACGAAGGAAGGAGCTACGCTTTGAGCGAACTTCGATCCTCTCCCAGACGGTCAACCCTGATCTGACCCTGATTTCTAGGGACCCTCAGCCTGGTCAAGACGAGGCAACAACGGCCAGCATGAAGGGCTATACATCTCGTCAAACATTGGTCAAGGATTCGAAAAAGAAGCGGTCACGCTGTTGCATCCATTATTTCCCAGCCCGAGGCTACCTACATTGGACGCTACGTTGGACTTATATTGGATAGGTGATCCAGTATATAACATACTCGTACCGTCGAGTCTATCATCCTGGAAGGTCATACGGGAGAAAAGAAAACCAAAAACCAAAAATCCCTAGAAAATCCCCAAAAAACAAGAGTATACCGCGTTAGCCCTGAGAACGAAGATTTTCGATACCTTTACACTGTAATACGCAAAACGAATTGGGCCTGACGATGCAACCCCCTGCCGCAATATATCGCGCAGCCAACCAACCAGCCGCCGTTCCCCCTCTATTTACAGGGATCATTTTGAAATTTCATGAAATTAAAATTGTTGTATTTGGTCTCATTTCTTTTTTTTTCTTGTTGGTTTTTTTTTATGGAATTTTTTTCACTTCGGATGGACCTTTTCACTGTAACCAATCACCAACCAGGTCGGGTGGATAACTCTCGGGGGAAGGTTATCATAGATTTCTCCGGACAGTGGTCTTTCTCGTGCCAGTTGCAATTGAGATCTGTAGTTGTTCTGTCAAATCCACGCGATACTGATCGACCTACTGATTTTCCTTTTAACCCCATTGCCTTACCCGCATGCTTTCTACCTTCTTGCATACTGTATACTTTATACCTTTTACTTTGCCCTAGGTAGTCTATAGGGCTACTCTTCTCGGGACATTACTCTCTGGGTAATTTTATACAGGTCTACAGAAGCTGTGGAACATGTATCAGATTCTATTGTCTTACCCTTAGATTGTTTCATTGTTCCCCGGGATCTCTTTTTTTGTCTCTCTTTCTTTGATTTCTTCTCAAATCGAGCCTATCACGACAATAACTCCCCACAAGAAAAGGACTGCCTTCATTGTTCTGGAGATCCATTGTTCATGGAGGAGCCCACCATGGAAACGGAGACTCATCATCCGCCGGAGAGCGAATACCCACATTCGCCATGGGAAATGGGCACATTTACTTCTCCCCAGCACTCGCCACCTATGCCAGAATATAGTGGGTTTGACTACGGTCAATCGCAGCTCATGGCCGTTGACTCATATGGCATGTCAATACCCCCGCCCTATGCCACCATGCCACTACCGATGCCTTCGCATTCCTGGCCCAGTATGCTCACAACCCACTCTCCGTTTGCTGCATCTGGGCTAGCTATTTCCACCCCGACGTCGGTATCTCCTTCGGCTCCCATGCCTCCAGTACGAAAGACCTCGACTGGAGGGTCTACACCGCGCAGGACACTTACCGACGAAGATCGCCGGCAAATGTGTATTTATCATGAGGAAAACAAGACTGCTAAGCAGACTGATATTGGAGGTACGCAATACGTCTTTCTCTGTATTCAAGGGACCAGGCTAACCCTATATACAGCGTTGTTTGGAGTCGAGAGAAGGTATCATTGCAACCTCAGTTTATTTGATTCAATCTAACATGTAACAGCACTGTTTCCAAAGTCCTTCGCCAGAAGGAAAAGTACCTAAACCCTGAAGACGGGAGTCGATCTCCCATCAAACGGGCCAAGGGCAGAGTCCCCGATATTGAGAAAGCTTTATCCAACTGGGCAAGGAACTACCAGCGCCAAGGATATCCCCTGAATGATGAAATGATCAAAGAGAAAGCACTCTTCTTCGCCAGCACCTGCGGCTGCCCCGAAGGCAAGGAAAAGGTCTGCACGACAGCCTGGCTAGAAAAGTTCAAGCACAAGAACAATCTTCTCGGCGCAAAAGTGCGCAGAGGATCTGCCGAAATTCGCAGCGGATCCAACAGCCCAACCCACCTCAATACCGATTTTGGATCTGCTCTTCAAAGCCCTAGCGGACCCTCGCCTACATCTCCAGTGGATGGGTTCGTATCCCCATTGTCTCCCATGAGCCAAGAAGGGTTCAAGCGGGACATGGGTGAACTACCTGACCTGACCGGGGGCTACCAACACGGGTATTCCAAGAGTACAACCTCAATCGACACTTCAGCGGGTATGATTAGTCCGACATCCACTTTGGTCTCCGAGAGCCCTTTCACACCGACGAGCCAATCCCGTCTTCCAATGGCCAACAATAGCACCAACCGACCACGCAGCCAGACCTTCCCGCTCGTTCCAATCGACCCAACACTTCTATCCGCCGACGAAGTGACGGACCCACAGCGTCAAAAGCGCGACCTCCAGCAATCACTTTCGGTCTCCATCTTGCAGTCCCCAGTGGAAATGGACGACCCTAAGCCCGCCACGTGCCCGGTCCACCAGACCAACGTCATCAAGCGCAATCGCAGCAACCCAGAAATCAAGACCAAGTCCATGCCGCCGCCTTCAAAGTCTACTACCATCTCGCCAATCAGCTCACCGGGATCACCGACGCAGGACGAGGCTCGTCGCGCCCTGGAAGTCGTTATGACCTACTTCGACCACCAACCGGCCGGTCTCGCCGCACAGGAGTACATGACCATCGGAAAACTAATGGAGAGGCTTGCGCTCGCCAAGAGCCAGGCCGGACTTCTGTTGGGTGGCTTGCCGCGAATTGATGAGCATGAGGATACTCCCATCCCGCGTGTGACGAAGAAGAGGAGCATCCACAATTTGGGATGAGTCTTGAACAGAATTGCATTTTGCATATCTTCCCTTCCTTTTTTTCCCTTTTTTGCATTTATTCCCCCCTTCCTGTTGCATCGCTTGATTTGCTACGGAAGCTTTTCCCCTTCCCCCCATCCCCAACATTATCTGATTTACCCTGATGCGTGATTCCCCATTCTCTTCTTCCTTTCCTTCATTCGGTGGTCTATTTGCTATTCTGTTCTTTTTCTTTGGTAACACTTGTACGAACCTTTCTTTTATATCCATTTCCTATCTCTCCGGCCAGCAATGGCAACGAGATATAAAACCTGGGCAACCAAACAAAAAACATACACATATCCAGAGGGCGACCTCTACTTTTGGAACTCTTGGGATTACGGATTTGGGAATAGGCGCAAACGCCCTGGCATTCCCAGTCTGGACGAGTTGGATGCATATGGAATAATGGGCACATGGCAATATGTGATGGTATATGGAATTGGGATCATCGGCCTTGGACTTGGGAGTTTTTGCCGCTTGCTTTCTTCTTCGGGTTTTTTGCTTTTTTTTTCTTTTTTTTTTTTGGCTGTTGGTTTGCTATATCCCTCACCCCCTTGTACTGCATCTCTTCTCACACTCTTTCATATTTAATTTTTTTTCCCTTTCTTTTTTATAAAAAAATTGGGCTGCTCACGCGGAAAGAACATAATTTCTCATTAGGTTTACCTATTCACCTATACATGAACCACGTCAGATTAGTTTTGCCTATTATACCCCGATATCTTCCTACAATCATACTGGTTTTTTTAACTTTGGAACTTATGCTAGTCATAAGTAAGGCATATCTCATTAATTAAGTCTCGTTATAATAAAAAAAAAAGCCGACAACATGTAATCTATACAAATGCAGGTGGTACTGACGCCACCCCACGATCCTCCAGTAAATCTTCAACACTGCGCTCAGCCATTTCAGGGAGGACCTTGGCCAACACTGTCTCGATAATGCTCCAAATAAGGTGTTTATTGCAGTATTCATCTGCAAAGAGATCTAGAAAATCACGCTCGATGATATCCAGGAGATGCAGTTCCTCGCAATCAATCCCCGCAGATGGATCGTCTGTGCGCTGCCGCTCAGCGGCAAGGTGACCACGCGTATCTGGGCAAGGGTCCGAAGGCGAAGGCGAATGCGATGACGCCAGATTTGCCTTCTCCTCCTGGGAAGCTCCATGGTGCGCACCAGGGGAAGAGGGCGGGGATGTGACGAGAGAGCGCGAACTGTTGGTGCTGCAGGTACCATCACCGCTGTAAGGCGGAGGCGCCGACGAGGGAACACCAAGGAAAGTTCGTGCGACGGAGCGCGGGATCAGGGCCAGGAGACTAGCTGCACATCGTCGCTTGATAGCGGCGATCTCCGTCCTAGATGGGCTGTTCGGTTTTACCGGCTCGGCCGGCTGATTTAACTCTGATGTTGGGACATCGTCTGCGATGACAGAAAGTGATGGTTGGCCTGAGGTAGCTGCTGAGGCACCAACATTGCTGCTGTTGCTGCTGTTCCCCGGATTATTGATTTTACTAATGATATCAGTCCTATCAGAGCCCTTGACTCCTTCCGTAATAGGAGTAATAGGTGAGGCAGAGGGCGCGAGGGCTTTCTGACTGGGCGTCGGGGTCTGCACAGACTGCAGAGCCGAGGCCGGAGCTTCAACAGGCCCGGCCGCTATTTGAGATGTTGGACGGGTATTGGCCGGGAACAAGGCGGTCCTTGTCGCAAGAAGAAGGTTGGGCAACAAAGTGGGGGTCAGCACGTACTCCTCAATGGTTTCCCGAAGGAATCTGAGGGAGTTAGCAAAAAAAATCTCAAATCATGACGTCGGAGCAAGGAAATTATAAATTAAAGCGATAATCTCGACTGTGGAGCACCGGGACGTTGTGCCTTTTTTTGGCGCATCATAAAAAAATAAAATGTCCAAGCATATAAAAAATAGAGGAGGCGGAGCAAGATCGGCTTAGGCATGAAGGAGCTTGGGCCAAGGGAAGTAGAAAAACATCCAACATCCCGTACCTGGGGCTTCATGCACGAACCTCGGTCAGATTACGAATTCGAATCCTTTCCGGCAGGAATTTCGCTCATTGGACTGAAATCAGTAATTCGGTCTTGGCTGCTTGTCTTTTTTTCTCTTTTCTTTTTCAGCCAAAAGAGGCATGGCCTTCACCTCCACCGATGGGGTGATCAGCGGGGGGTTTTTTTTCTCACTCTCTTTTGCTCGCGCACGAGATTTGAACACCCTTCTTGCCAAGGAGCTTTGGATCGCCTAGATGTTTCCTTTCTTGTTTTGATCAAATCAAGTCCATTGAAAGTTGGCACAGGTTGGAATCTTGAGATTCGAAGAGTGGAGCGGCACGGAAAGGCCCGGGCCCCGGCGCTATCACACACTTCAAAGAACAGAGACGGGGGACATCCGCGGGATACAGTCATCCCTGTCCAAAAAGAAAAAATCAAGCTCGCTCGGACCAATTTGAAGGCAGCCAATCTCAGGCCAGAACAGCCCAGTAAGACGGTAATAACCATACGGTAAGATGACATCGTAAGGTTGTAAGATGACCGTAATCTCTCCGGGTATTGCAGCCTTCCAAGAGGTTACAGCCAGGTCAAGTGACCGACGCGGCATGCGAGCAAAACGCTTCATGTCCAACTCTAACTCGCACAAGTGACACTTGACCCATAGATCGTGTTTTGAAGATCGTACCATTGCTCCACAGTCGAGTATTTCCCAAGGCCTGAGCCCTTGAGAAGGAGGGGGCATTGACATCGCAAAGAAGATGGAGATAAAGGAAAATAGAGCAAAACTCACCTATCTAAGATTCCATTGGTAGCACCGACCCTGCCTGGGCCTGCCAGGATAAGATGTTGGAATAGGGCGAGCAAGCCACTCAGCCATGGCATTCTCCATGGTATTCCCATTATTTCCGAGACCATGGAGTACATCCGGTAGTCGAGAATTGGGCGTCTACTTGTGCCATCTGTGGATTCCATCTCATCTCTTTTCTGGTTGATGGGTAAGGCAAGTGAAACACCGACACCGTGCGAAGAGGGGCCTGGACTCGATGCGACACGAAATAATCCCGTCGCAATGAAACGCAAAACGACGTAACCAAGATAAATCCCCTGTAGAAGGCTCCAGATCCAAGTGGCCGAGAATGACGCCGATGGGTCGGGGAGCTCATCCTCGGTTGAAAGCAAGCCAAACTTTTCTAATCGGTTGGTTGGAGAGCCCGAGGCGGATTTTGTCTCATCTCGGGTTTGACGGCGTTTCACTTGAGCGGCGAGTTTGCCTATATTTTCCCAAATGAACCATCCCTCGCATGCCCTGCCACTGACTTGGTTTCCAAGTATCAGATCTGCTATAACGTCAACCACTAATGCTCGAAGACTCCTGTTTTCAAGGTCTTCCGTTGGAAGAAGAACTGCGAGGATACCGTTGGCGAGTAGTCGTCGATAGACTGCTTCATTCTCGCTCTGCTCGGCGATCGTATCTGGATCCCCTGGGTCAGGCACCGGAGAAAGACTGGGATTTGGATTCAGCTCATGATAAAGAACACGGTACGACGTCGATAGACCAGAAAGGTGTGATTGTTGCCTGGCCTGTCTGTATGCTGGATCATATAGTCAGCAATGTTGCCCCGTCTCAGCGAAACCACCATGGATTCCGGCAAGAAGAACTTTAGAATAGTCAAGTCTCACAGAGTACATGTGCTTCCACCAGGCCAGGGATTTCGTCGAGGGTCAATTGTGCAACGTCAATTTGGCGCAGCCTCTGCTCGAGTGCACGCGTGCAATGCGCGATTACTTGTAAAACTTCATTCACAAGAGCCTGGTCGGGTGTAATTTTCGAGTACCAAGAGTAAACAAATTCCTTTATTATGATGGCGAGAAGGGCGTAGAGTTGACGATCGACGTCATTAGAGCTCGTGAGGGGAGGTAACAGCTCTTCCGGAGGCTGTGGGGAAGATGCCCCGTGGTTGCTTGTTTGGGGGCACAGGACGCGTCGGATCAGGGCAGTGGTGGCCTTTTCACTAACGTAGTCTGGATCATCCTTTCCAGGGTCTCTCTGTGTACGGAGTCGAGAGGAAGGACGCGAAGGAGGCTGAAGCGTGGCAGAGGGCAGCGCGGTGGATCTGGAGCTGTAGGTTGTCGGCCCAGCCTTGAGATGAGATATCGGCTGAAGACCGGGGCGGAGCGGATCATTCATTTCATCTCATAGAGTTTTGGAGTCGGTTCAATAGCTATCAAGGAAGCGTTTTCTGTTAATAGCTGGACAAATCAACCTTTGAAGCGTTGATGATTTGTACCTGGCCCAATTCGGACTATAGGGCTTAGGGCCTGGAGATAGGCCTTATCGCGCTCCATTGATGCGGGGATCTGTTAGATGGCCAAATGTACTTAAGTGCCCAAGTGGCCTCTTGACTCTCAATTGTATTATTTGTTGCTTTGAAATATACGCACCATGTTAGACCGATTTGACCAAGATAGACCTATCCCCTTATGGTTGGATTGCGATCCTGGTCAGTCCCCCATGTTCCTCTCGCCTTCCTATCACTGACCTCGGGACTTTTAGGTCATGATGTAAGCCTCTAAAGGTACATGTGTATTCTAGAGAAAGATTTATTGATATGAGATAGGATGCCTTTGCAATCTTGATCGCCGCTCATCATCCATCTTTGGAGCTGCTTGGAATCAGCACTATCCATGGAAATGCATCGTTAGAGAAGACAACCGCTAATGCCGGCAGCATTCTGGAAGCGATCGGCAAGCCCGATATTCCTGTATATCCCGGCAGCAATAAACCGTTTTCACGACCTGCTCTCCATGCGCCCGACATTCACGGTGAGGAGCCCTCGCTATGCAAGCGCAATGTTTCAATAACACTTTCTAGGCGAATCTGGTCTTGATGGAACCGACCTTCTTCCCAAGGCCACTAGCCCCCCTGTCACCGATAAGAATGCTATTCTCGCCATGAGAGATGCTCTTCTTGCGCAGCCCAAAGGCACTCCCTGGGTAGTTGCAACGGGTACCTTGACTAACGTCGCATTGTTGTTTGCAACATTCCCCGAGGTGGCTGAACACATCCAAGGGCTGAACATTATGGGTGGCGCCATTGGTGGAGGATTCACCAATGCTCCTATGAGCAGACTCCCAGGTGAGAAGTCTAGGATTGGAAATGTGACACCATGGGCTGAGTTCAACATCTATGTATGTTTTGCAATCTTTCACCCTCCTCTAGCTCGGCTAATGGAAACATTGTAGTGTGACCCGGAGTCTTCAGAGTCAATCTTTAGCAACCAAGTTCTTGCATCTAAGACAACTATGATCGGTTTGGATCTTACACATCAGGTCTTGGCCTCACAAGCCGTCCAAACACGCATCTTGCATGGCTCGATTCACTCGACCTCGGAACCCACTGTCCTTCGACAGATATTGCATGCACTACTCACTTTCTTCGCTGCCACATACGAGAAGTGTTTTGGGTTGATCACTGGGCCTCCGCTGCATGATCCCATTGCCGTGGCCGTGATCTTGTCGACGCTGAATCCAGCCTTCGCCAAAAAGCACCCTGCCCAAGCTCTTACTTTTGATGATAAAGGCGGCGAGCGTTTTGCTGTGAGTATCGTCACGGATGGACAGCACGGAAAAGATGTATCCACAACAGGTCAACTAGGGCGCTCGATCGCTACTCCTGTGGATGGTGCGGGCGTTGCTATTCCCAGGGGCATCGATTTAGATGCTTTCTGGAACATAATTCTACAATGTGTCCAGCTGGCGGATGATTGCAATGCTGCACGCAATGTCTAATCTGCGATATCTTTGGACGACCTGTGAACATTTTAAGGATTTTGGTTACTTTAGACTGTCTAAATCTATAGAATGGTATCTCGGTGGAAGTCAGATAGGGCCATAGACCAGGATTTGCGACATGTCTAAATAATCTCAAGTTGTACTTGATACTCATATTTGACTATATCCATTGTTGATAAATGCCTTGATCCAAGGATTCCACTCCCAAATGCAAACTTTTGTGTACACTGGGGCAAATCTCGATTATCTCATTCATCTAGGGTAGTTCAGATGTCCTTGGTGGCCTGATCCTCAATGGTGCTTATGAGTCTCGAATCCCGCCGACCTGCGATAATGATAGGGAACGTCTCACTAACTCATAAGAAGGCAGGACTCCTATTCACAAGCCGAGAACAGGGGGTTCTCCGCTTCAGTCACTGAAAGATTGGATTGTCGAACATGGAGAGTCGGGTTCTACTGGCCGGAATATGACAAGCTCCAATGGAAGCTTCAAGGCTGTTCTTCGCATGGCCTTCTTTTTAAGGCTTTTATAGATCACTTTTCAGATGCAAGTCAGCATCTTGTGATGTTTTACAGGGGAGCCTCCACGTTCTTGGCTTTCAAGGGTATATATATATGCATAGAATAATCAAGAACAAGTGAGAAATCCAGATTTGCCTAGAATCCCCTTGGAAGTTGAAGTTCAAAGGCCCGGCTGAAAGGAAAAACGTCATATGTTGGCCTCTCCACATCTCACACCAAACACTTACTCGTGGACATCTTTTTCCCCAGACTTGATTTTGTTACTCATATTTTGGTTTCTTGGCCTTGCATGGACGTCGATCCCGCACACTCCTCGACGGCGCATTCCGATCAGAATGCCGCCTCCTAACGCATGTTTCATTGCAATCCATCTATAATATGTAAACTAATATCTCCTTTAGCATAGCACGCCACTCTCTCCGACGGCACCTGACCCTCCGCGCCGATCGATTCCCACTGCCCCTGTGGAGACCGATAACGCCCACGATGACAACGTGAATTTCCTACGATCGCGACCAGCTCTTTTCAATCCGTTACTACCCTCCTTGAGCCGACAGCGTCGCCGTCGTTATCCGATTAACCCGCCACCGCAAAACGAGGATCGCATGGAGGTGGATGATCCCACCAACCCGCGCACGTCCGTTGAACTCAACCGTCGCATCCCGATTGTCCGCCGCCAGGAGAGATCAACCGATATGCCGAATTACGAAGGACGAATGCCCAACTCACGGTCGTTGTATGGATGGGCGCCCGGATCTGATGATGAGGATGGTGTTGCGCGCGAAGAGTCAGAAGATGATCAGATGCAGCCCTTCCTCCATTCCACTTCGAATCGTGATACACCCCCCCGCGCGAACTCCGCGAAATGAGATCCCGGGTCCCGCACAACTGATACCCCATGAGTATGAGACATTACCAGGCAGCAACCGGGCTCGAACATCGGTCTCTGCAGTCGCGGCGTTGTTACAATCCGCAAGACGACAGCCTCGGCTTGCTCGAAGTCGCACATTAGAGAATTACATCATCGATCGCTATTCAGAAACCACTCCCGAGGAGGACGCCGAAAATACAGTAGCGGTCGCAACTCGTGGATACCGATATCGTCCTTCGTCGCGCGGGGACTCACATCATACCAACCTTACCCACAATGACCTACGCGCTCGTGCTACCGCTCATCGCCAACTTCACTCAGATACCTACCTGAGCAATATACTGGGCGAAACGATACACTATCTTGAGCGCATTAGGTATTCAGACTCCCTTGAAGAGAGTATGCTTGCCGTGGCAGACAGTCGCCTACCCATCTCGATGGACAACAAGGCTTGGAGAGATACAGATTTCATTTTATACACCCCCAACATTGCACCACCTGCGGCGTGCTCATGGCTTCAATCTGGAATGGCTTTTTCAGGCTGCCAACGAGCTGCCAGCGCCGGATGTTCAGTGTTGTCGCAACGCGTCACCAGTCCACATGCCCCTAGTGAGCCCGTCATTGTAAATGGAAGTGATACCACCCGAGTCAGCGTTTCCACTACAAGTGGTCGTCGATACTTAGCTAATAACCGCGATGAAAATTGGCCTGTCAAAGTCACGATACACCAAATCAACCACGACGACATGACTCTATCCGGCACCATGGAGGCCTACAATATCCCCGATAAGACCTCGCCCACCCACGATGCACATATTGTGACTTTCTTGGAGGGTGAGATCATCGATTTCAACAATCACACACTTGAGACCAAGAACTTCAAAGCAGATGCAGATATCGATAGCACATATTGGCGTGAACTACAACCGTTCAAGGATCTGACAGATGCTGAGATGGCACGGAACCTTGTGAGTCGCAAGTGGATTACTGAGGAATTGTCCAAGGGATGGATCTTGATGAGATGGAAGGGTAAGTAGCAGAAGAACATATATCCTATTACCGTGTATCTCCTTTTTGCTAACATACCCCAGAACGATGCTTCATAACCCCAACCGATGCTCGTCAAGGTCTTACAATTTCTGGATTTTACTACATCTCTCTTCGCCGCGAGGACGGACACATCGAAGGTCTATACTATGACCCAGGAAGCTCGCCTTACCAGCAACTCTCTCTAAATCCAGAAGTATCGAAAATGGTCCGCCCTTCTTATGCTTTCCGCTGAAACCCCTTATGTGCATATCGTCCTCTTCTTATTTTTGCTTTGGTCCAGAATAATCTTCTGGTCTCTCTACCTGAACCTTTGGTGTCTCTGATTTAGCGTTCTGAAAAATGTCAGGTGGCATTTAAAATGGCCCTTTGCATAGCTCGGCGATATCCTTGTTCGATTCATTCGCTCTTCTTTGCATCTTCTTCCTTCTGAATAGGTCCGTGGCCACCAAATTGCTGCAATCATTCTGATTTGGGTCCTGAAATCATGACCATGTCATAGTTTACCTTTTCGCCTCTTATGTCTTTGTATCTTCGATAAAAATTGTTCTTTTTTTTTGGCTATCATGGATTTAGACATGAGGAAATACCACTTATTCCAAGGCCCCTGCAAATTACTCCTGTCTTTCTGCTTCATTCATGTATAATCTTGTTATGTATCAGATCAAATCTCACCTCCGATCTCATTTAGACGGCAATTGAGGTGTCTCAGGAGTCGGGAATTGTTTGACCATGTCCAATGCAAGATATTGGCAAAGGTGACCAATCGTCTCAATGAATTTGCGAAAATGAGAGTCATTATGAGAAAATTGACCGGGGGTTTCCTGTTCAGCTCACCTACCCTGATAAGATTATTCGCTACACGAAGTACGAGTAGACTCTTGGCCTCACGTACCCTAATGCGCGACTAGGATTGCCTTGTAGATCACCAGCATCCAACATAAGTCCATTGATACTAAGGTGACCGCTTAAGCGGCAAGTCCAAACAGCTAACCCTGGGAAGAAGTGCTGCAATATTACTGCTGTGGCTTGAATGAAAATCGATTATCCAATCGTATTTCCTTATCCGCCGCATACGTTTGAGCTGCAAGGCTGGAGTCGAATTGAAAAGCCAGTTGGTGTGATAAATGCGGTCTCACTGAGACCCACCATTCAGTACGGAGTAAATATGAAATGATATGCATGTACGTCCTGGAGAGACGAGTCACATAAGGCCGCATAGGACATATGTATGACATTTCTTGAATTTTAATGAGAATTCTGGAAATTCAAATGCAAGGACTCACCTCAGCCGCATCTTCATAGTGGGTAATGGTGCTGTAGTGGATATGCATAATATCTCACCTCCACAACCTTTCTGCATGCCTAGTACTCCGTACGGAGTACATGTGCTGTAGTTTTTTTTTTTTTTTGTATAGGTCGGTAAGATGTGCCGAGAGAGTTGATCTCCTCCAATCCTACCTCGAGCTATCCCGAGCTATCGTCTCCCTGTTTGTTTACTAAGCTTCTAGAAGTCCAAATCTTAACATGCCTGCAGATGAGATATTGGGCGATGCCATTGCTCAAAGACGGGCATGTTCTCTTGAGCACTGAAGTTCCGGATCACACGGTTGATGATGGCAATGACTCAGAGGAAGAACGGGTAAACAGGGTCTTTCTAGCTGTTGCATTGATAGTTTAGGTGGTGGTAGTGCCAGTCGATGAAGACATCCAAGCAGAATATTACATGAAGGTACCTCGTGATGACTGACGGTTTATTTGTGATGGCAACAGGCGAAGAGATTGGAAAAGTCTTCCAAAGATCGGATAGAAGACCTTGGCACATATCGAGCTATAGCTTTCCTGTTACGCAAGTCACTAAAAAATGCTTCAGGGGTATATCATTGTCGATGCCAACCTTTATGGAAACCAGATTTTCTATAGGAGTCGGCGGCTCTAATTACCGCGGGTCGATGTTCAACATGCTTTTTTGGTGGTTAATGAGTTCTATCTTTCAAGACATACAATTATCTCGATTCCTATTCTTCAAGAGATAGGTCTTGGACTTTATGCCCGGGTCAGATTAGGTAAGTAGTTGGCCTGCCTTTTGCAGTCTAGTCCCAGTACGGAATATTTCTGCAGGGACCGGAATGGCGGTTTATCTACAACTCAATCTATAGCTTTCTCGGCACGGAGTCGAGGACATGTTTGAACAACAATTACTACCTATCATCTGGTCCAGCTTCTCAAATCAATTATTGGTGTGACAGCCTCAAGCAAGTATAGTGCTAAGTCGATGCGCCAACAACCTCCGGCGGAGCCTGCATGGGGTATCTCAAGCCGACGCGGCTTGAGGATTAGTGGGGTCTTGCAAGCAATGGTGCTTGGCCTGCTGACTATTTACTACAGCTTATACAAAGGCGCACAACGCCAATCGCTTCGCGACGTCGTTCCCTGAACGAATTCAGTCGCATGTTCTACAAAGCTTTCAAACCATACGGGATACGTGCAACTACCGATCCTCTAGTGCCAAAACCAATCGAACACCGTACATCTCCTGTGCAACATTTCAGCGGAAACCTCGGACAATATTCAATATTATGGGTATGGAAGATAACGAGTCCCCGTAGACGTTATGTATAGATTAGGCCATCCTAAATTGATTGATTAATATATGAGACACTTGGGAATATATTGATATATCAATCTAATCTAGAATTGAAAACGTAATATGAAGGGGTTTAACCAAAGGAGACTGAAGATATCTCCGCAGATACGTACCTCTAATAAATTATATGCTTCACTTAGCTTCACTTCGCTTCCCGCTTGTACTTGCCCGATTGCGGAAAGGCGGAAGATGTCGGGGTTACATGGCCTTATGTAGATCTCTGCTTATCTATGCAGGTACAGCGTTGAATGATTATTTATTGCACTCAACTGATCCCATTTTCGATCTCCAGGGATTCAGCATGCATTACCTTTCACTTTTGGCGATAGCAGGCGCTATCCAGCCTGTTATCGGTGCGCCTCGCCAGATTCGATCTGAGGGAACATGCAAGAAAACTAAGGTTGCAATCTTGTAAGCACTGAATTGCTTATAGATTGATGTCGAAACTCACAAAGTATAGGGGAGGTGGTATGGCTGGTATCACTGCTGCTGTAGGTTTCCATCTTCGGTTATCCGAATGTTATTGACAATTTATAGCAAGCCCTGACAAATGCTTCCGTGCACGATTTCGTGATCCTCGAGTATCGCGATACTATCGGCGGTCGGGCATGGCACAAGCCGTTTGGCAAAGACAAAGATGGGAAACCTTATAATATTGAGATGGGTGCCAACTGGGTATGCATGTATCAACCGCATGGAAGAAATCCTGCTGACAGTCAAACAGGTGCAGGGTATTGGAAGCGAAGGAGGCCCGCAAAACCCCATCTGGGTCTTGGTAAGTCTCTAGATATCGTTGATTGAATACAGACTGACCTCGATCAGGCTCAAAAATACGGGCTGAACACGGAATTCTCAAATTATGAGAATGTATCTACCTACAACAAGGATGGCTACTCTGACTACAGTGATCTACTTAGCGCCTATGACGAGGCCTATGATATTGCCAACCAGAGAGCAGGTGAGATTCTTACCCAGAATCTTCAGGATCAAAACGCCAAGTCAGGCCTCGCCATAGCTGGTTGGAACCCCAAGGCACATGACATGGAAGCACAGGCTGTTGACTGGTGGTCGTGGGGTAAGTGACCTGTTTTGTGAGTGCAGCTAGCACGGCTAACATCTGGACTAGACTTTGAAGCTGCTTATTCCCCAATAGAGAGCTCATTTGTCTTCGGCTGTGCGGGCGACAACTTGACCTTCAATTATTTCAGCGACCACGACAACTTCGTTATTGACCAGCGTGGACTGAATATTATTGTCAAGGAGCTTGCATCAACTTTCCTCACTGACAATGACCCCCGCCTTCAGCTGAACACCGAGGTCACAAATATCACGTATTCGGACCATGGTGTTACAGTTCACAACAAGGATGGCAGCTGTGTAGATGCAGATTATGCTATTACCACATTCTCACTGGGGGTACTGCAAAATGGCGCTGTCAAATTCTCTCCGGCACTCCCGGACTGGAAGCAGGAGGCTATTCAGAAGTTCACCATGGGAACGTACACCAAGATCTTCTTCCAGTTCAACGAGACTTTCTGGCCTTCGGAAACACAGTATCACCTTTACGCCGATCCTGTGACACGTGGCTGGTACCCGATCTGGCAGTCATTATCCACTCCCGGATTCCTCCCCGATTCCAACATCATCTTCGTAACTGTGACCAATGAGCTTGCCTATCGGGTCGAGCGCCAGACAGACGAGCAGACCAAGAAGGAAGCAATGGAAGTCCTGCGCAAGATGTTCCCAGATAAGGATATTCCCGAGCCAACTGCATTCATGTACCCACGATGGACCTCGGAGCCCTGGGCCTACGGCAGCTACTCCAACTGGCCTCCAGCCACATCTCTGGAGATGCACCAGAACCTTCGTGCCAATGCTGGCCGACTGTGGTTTGCTGGTGAGGCTACCAGTCCGACCTTCTTTGGCTTCCTTCACGGCGCATACTATGAAGGGTTAGACGCGGGCCGACAAATCGCAGCTATCATGCAGCACCGGTGCGTCAACGCAGACTCTGCCAAGTTGAGAGAGTGTGGACCTCGCAAGCATTATGAAACCCTGCATGGTACCTCGCCGTATTCCGACTACACCATGCTCAATGGATGGGCCGTAGATAGTTTGATCGATAATAACCCCGAATAAGCAGATGTGGAGAACATGGGGCAAGGAGCTTATATACAGGCTTGCAAATCTTGAAGCCAAGTGGTTGACGTTATCCAATATCATATCTGTGTCTATATTGTATATATTCCATGTTGTAGAGTTAGAAATGAATTGAAATCGTCCAAATCACCGAGCAGATCCATATCACTTATAGAGTCCTGAGAAATTGGGCACGGTTTAGTCCGGAAAAAGGGCCCACGGGGGCCCCCACAATCAGCCGTGGGCCTAAACTAAAAGCCCAAAGCCCAACCCATTGCTGGGTCGGACTTGGGGCTTTGGCTCTCAGGAAATAGATTAAGCGATACAGTCAGTGGAAAATTGAGGTATGTGGTTGCGAGAGCAAATTCCATCTGGCCTATCGTCCCTCAACTACGATCATCGTCCGCAAATCGCTCCCCCCAGGCATTCCGAAAATGAGCAGTCGCCCCAACCTCAGAAATCTCATTGATTTCCTCCTCCGTTAACTTCACATCCAACACCTCCTTATACTCATTCAACCTCTCCACCTTCTGAGTTGTAGTCACAGCTACAATATTACGTTGAATTAACCAAGCAAGAAGCACCACATTCTCAGTCGTCTGATGCGCATCCGCAATCCGACCTAGCGGGCCCTTCAAGGGTCCCCCCGGAACTCGGAAAGCCGGAGTAAGGCCCTTGAACGAGCCTACCTGGATGTTGTTCTCATGCATCCAGGGGACATACCCATTTGCACGCTGCAAGTACGGGTGATACTCGATTTGGTTGATAACAGGTGGGTCGATGGCGGTTTGCAGGGTTGCTTCGAGTTCGTGGCGAAGATAGTTGCTCACACCGATGGATTTAGCTTTACCTGCGGCTTTGACTTCCTCCATGGCTTTCCAGGTATTCTGGAGGTCGGCAGGCGATTCAGCGAAGAACGGCACGTGGATCAGGTACCTGTCGACATTAATTGTCATGTTATCATCCAGCGCCAAACGACTCACAGGTCAAAGTAGTCAGTCTGGATTTTCTTCAAGCTCTGAGTTATGGCGGCATCGATGTTAACAATACCCTGCGCGACCTTGTTGGTGATAAAGAGCTTTTCGCGAGGGATACCGGCCTCTTTGATTGCGATACCGACTTCTTCCTCGGTACCGTACATCTCCGAACAGTCCAGATGGATGTAGCCCTTCTGGATGGCAGTTTTCGTCAACTGCACTAGGTCATTATTGAAGTTGGTGTCGCCTTCTTCCTTGTACCAAGCGGTTCCGGTGCCAAAGGCAAGCTAACTACAATGAGCGTCATGATAATCAAAGGCAGGAGAAAACATAGAAGTGGGATCCTATTTCCATCGCGAATCTGTAGACTTGGGATCTCCATTGCTTTGGTGATGTGCTGAAGCTGGGTTTGTAGTCGTTGAGTGGTTGATGGGACGAAAGGAAGGACGCTGAGGGGCCTCAGATGCAAAGCCGCGCGAGAGTATTGAGTTGAGATTCATTGTTTGGAATGAGGAATGATACAGCTACCGTACTCTTTATAGCAGTATTTGATCCTCGTAATTGTAGTACTCCGCTTCTGTGATTGGTCTGGAAATGTCAGTTTAATCCGATCTTGTCTGTGACTCTAAACCATGTGTGTCTCTTCGGCGACATTGCACTCTGGATATTCATGTCGAGACTCTTGTAGAAGTCGCCAACGAATCGGTTTGAATTAATATATAACGACCTAGAGAATATTAGTCCAATGACTTTAACGAGTAACGGGGACTTTACGGAAGTGATATTGAGCAGTCCCTACCTTCCCAGAGGTAATATCAGCATGAATGCAACGCACTATCATAGTCCAGACAAGACATCGACACTCCCGCTAGCTGTATGCTTTTAGTCATCTCTGACGTACATTGCATCTAGCACAAGCGCAAGAATTGAAGGAAGCTATGATCTCACAGCCATCGTAATTCAAGTTCTACTACTAAGCAACATGTACCACAGACGCAGCAACTATCAATATAAAAATTCCAAAATGTAGACTGTATCTGACTAGTAGACCGAAATATCTCCACAGCTAGGTAAAGTCGCAAACTTCCAAGCTGACCTTTTGTGAAACGAGTGACTAACTTGATCCCTTCACAGTCGGCTTGTACTATCTAGTGTCTGGTCAGCAGTTCATACAAATGCTAGCAGAATGATTACATACACTTTCCAGTTCTCAAGAGTGAGCATTGACATTGTTCCCGTACAGGCGCATGTCACGGACTTTGCTCACGGAGACATCGTCCTTGACAACTTTGTACTCCCGCCAGGGCTCCTTGCGGCTGTCAGGGGTGGGGGCAGCCTTGTCGATGGGGGAGTTGGCGGAGTCCTGCTTCTTTGTGTGCGGAACTGAATCCGTGACGGAGTCCACGATGAGCGCAAACACTGGCGCATACGCTAATACTGGCGAGATGTGGTGAAATAGGATACACCATCTTCCACCTCAAAAGATGCAGGGCACTATTTCTGCGAGTTCCGGCTGTATTCACCTCTAGCCGAGCCGCTTCTCGACGAGGCGCTGAGCAAGAAGCAAGGACGGACTGTGTTTCAGCATCTGCCTGAGAGTCATTTGGCCGAGGATATTGCGTTGGCTACTAAAATCACCGTCGCTTACATTATGGCCCTTGCTGATGATCCGATTGCCAACGGTGATGGCGATTTTAATCACTAGCTGGCTGATTGAATAGAGATATGAACTTTGTTAAACAAGAGACGGACTAATGTGACTCGATACCAAAAGATCAGTGAATTAGTATGCGCCGTGACCCGCAAAAGTTCCGCAAAAGTGAGGCTCTTTCAGAGTTTATCTATTCTTTCTAATTCGCATAATTGCATAGCTGCATAAATTTCCATAAATTGGCCTAAACGGGAAGGTGGCCCTTTTATCTAGGTCATTTTATGAGCTTGCGGGTTATACGGGCTGGTCTATACGGGCTGGTCTCGGGTTATGACGCAGCCTAGGCTGGGATTGGAAAATGTCCACAGTTAAGTAGCCCTGCTTTGAGGCTTTTCTTTTGGGGTCGAGACTGTGAGAACGAACAGTCACTTTGACTATTCATATGTATATTGTTAATGAACCTGGAAGATCTTGCGGCTCATTTTCTGACATGGAAAGTACCCACAAGGTCATTTCAATTGAATCAGCCTATGGTGCTTTCATGAGAACACTTTGCTTTTTCCTCGTAGCCGAGGTCCATAAGCCCTGAATATGATTGGAATAGGGATCATCATTGCGGCTAAACAGCCAAGCAACGTGCTAGCCCATTGTATTCCCATATTTTGAAACATTTGCCTCGAGAATAGCGGAAAGCTTGCAGCTACTGCGCTTCGAAGCATGATATTCGCAGCAACAGCCGAAGCAGCTCTAACAGATACGTTATTATGGTAGCTTGATTTGAGTAGCCGTGAGCTTACATTGGCACGTATGCATCGACGATATAGTTGAAGCACGGAAGAAATATGCATAAGACTGCAAATCCGATGCATATCCCGGCAGAAGCAGGTACTGCCCAGTGAATCTTGGGTGTGAATCCAGTCCAACCAAACCTGATGGATTTCCGGTTAGCTCACATACATTCGAACCGTCTAAAATTAGATTACCCACCAAAAGAGACCAATTGCCAATAGAGGCGCTCCTAGAAATGTTGGAGCGAGGCGCCACTCGGGAACAGGGATGCCTTTATTCTCTGCCAGTTTCTTTGCATAGGCCAGCTGCCCAACAAGAACGAATCCACAGGCGAGCACCATGCCTATGATGAAGCTTATGAACATCAGACCAGCAACAGCAGGAGTCATTCCGTACACATGCTCGAAGATCAAAGGATATGCCTCAAGAAGCGCATAAACAAGCCCATATATGAAGGACATGTAACTTGACACCAACAGTATAATATGCTCCGTGAAGAGCAACTTCAATGGACGTGTGAAGTATTTCTCCACCAGACCCGCGATGTGAAACTCGATCTCCTCATGCCTGGCAAGAATCCTCGAATTTTGGGACTCTTTGCGGATAGCAGCAGCCTTCATCACGAGAATACAAGGCGGATATGTCTCATCCAAGAAGAAAACACTCAATAGCCCATTTGCCAGGCCGAAAATTGCCGGGATGTAAAGAGTCCACCGCCAGCCAAGATAACTCGACGCAATGAAGCCACCCACAAAAGGAGCCATAAGCGGTCCCACGAAAACAGTCAGCGCATATAGCGTAATTACTGCCCCGCGAGTGGTGTTGTTATATAGATCAGCTAATACACCAGGGACAACAGTCATTTGGCTTGCGCCAAACATGCCAGCGAAGAAACGGCATATGAGCAAGGTCTGGATATTCTTGGCCACTGCTGATGCAATAGTGAGGATTCCACCGCCTAACATTGCTATTGTCAAAGGCCATTTTCTTCCCCGTAGCTCCGATGCAGGTGCCCAGATCAGAGGACCTGCTGCAAAGCCAAGAACGTAAAGGGTTGTTCCCAGTATCCCGACTTCTGTCCCGACCCCAAAAACTTTGCTTGCTTGATCAACCCCTGGTGCAAAGATGGCGCTGGCTAGAGAGACGATGAAGGTTCCTGAACAAGCTAAGATCGAGGCGAGAAGCCTATATACAAAGTATGGTCAGTTGCATTCGGGTTATCCAGATGCTTGGCCAACTTGGACTTCTGGCTTACTTCCTAGACAGTCTCCAATTCTGAGGATGGTCAGGGTCATCGGTTCCTTCAAAATCAACGTAGCTTGCTGAGTTGGAAAGAGTAGTCGGAAGTGCGTTGCTCGCCCCAGCCGATAGCTTCTCTTGCATCTTGATACAGTATAACGAGCAGCTACGTTGTCAATGAACTTTAGGGTTTGAGTTTTAGAAACGCTAAATTCAGGCCAAGCTTGTTTCCGACAAAATGTTGGGATATTGAATTCAATATGTAGTGTATCCATACATCCTTTACACAGATAGCTTTGTGAAACATGTGGGTTCCCAATGTTTTACAAGCGGGTATTGCGGAACGGACCGCTATTTCCGCAAGGCTTATGAGATTTGTATATGGCAGTCTATTACCGCCAGTGTGACGGTTCGGAGTTTGCCTGTAGGGCATTTTATAGTCTGAGGAATTATATAAAGATTAGAAATTCAAGTCAACTCTCGAATGAAATTTTGAACTTGGTTGATCATATGAAATCTGATGTCTAAATCCTCTATAGTCTGTCAGCTTTCTATTCATCTACATCGCACATTACATATAAAAAATTCTGAATTGGCCGCCGGTAGCAATATGTCTGCTCTGTAACACAGCACTGGCTTTCAGGGTTGAAATTCGAAAGTGAATCTACTTGAAAGATAATTCAAGAAATATCAACATATCTCCCAAAAGCATAGGCACCTTTAGGCATTGTCCTCATTCCGACCCACCTAAGAAACTCGGACTACCAATCATATCCGCATTGAGAAATTGATCAAGGTCATACCTTTGCAAACCGGGCAGATCAGCAACCAAAGCCCCTAGCCATGAGTACTCTTCTGCGCTTGGAAATTCTTGCAGAGATGATCCAGTTGGACTTCCTTGCTCCTCCATATTCACGATATCATTGAAGATCGCAAGGTCATCCTTCCTTCGCTGTTGATGAAGCATAACTAGCAAGAGAGCCGCACTCCAGGCTTCTCGCATGGTGTTGGTATTGTAAGTGGATGCAACGAGCTTCAATGTCTGCATTGCTTCAGGGAGCATCGCTAGTGATTGCCGGGTGTCCATCACGAGCAAGACACATATGATGTGGAAAGGGACATTTGTCATATGCTGCCAAGGGCTGCAGTCTCTGATCATAGTGCGTGAGCAACCAAGTCCCTTCTTCAGCAACGCTAAGGCTTTTTCTGCGAGGCGAGGAGATATTTCAAGGTTCTGTGTGTGGATTCTGCGCAGAATGCAAAGGACAAGATTACATTGCGCCATGGCCGAGGGAGGCTCATTATGGACTCTTTCTAGGATCTGAGATAATGTTTCCTCAAGCTTCATTTCATCTTCCTTCGGTTTTCCAGGGTCTAGACTTGCTGATAATGGAAGAAGCCCCAGCAACTCATGTGTGTAATCACCCTCGATGTTTAATGGAAGCAATGGCAAATCATTCTTTCGGAATGATACTCTTGATAAACCAAGATCATAAGATGTCCACAAATTCAGATGTAGTGCCAGGCCAAAGATTCGTCTCTGGAGGTTTGGATCGAATCCCGTGTCTATACTGCTTGGAAAGACCGAATCAGTGGACTCTAGATGGAATCCCGCAGCTTCCACCAGATGCATCAACTTCGAACTCGCGATCCATGTTGCGTGTGGTAGATCTGTCATTCGCATGTAGATGACTCGTAACGTCCACCCAGTGAGAAGGTCTACTGGAGGAACGCCAGACAGATAGTGCGTGTCGAGAATGGAGATTGCCGATCCAATGAGGTGCACTTCGGTGATGGTCATGTTTCGTTGGGAAAACAAGCAACCTAACGCAGCGACGCCACCAAGAACACTGTCATATAGACTACCAACCATGGGAGACTGCCATCTAGCATCCAGGCGCTCAAAAAATTGAGCAGAATCAATAAAGCCATAGAACGGATCAATCTTGGCGAAGTAGACCTGAGCGAGTGTCCTCATGTGTTCAAGGGATGTGATATCCGTAATTGACAGCACAGGGGGAACAACTTGAGACTCGGACGACAGCTGTCGCTTTCCAATGTTCCAACCAAAGAGGCTAAGTTTGGGTGCTTTCGCGGCATCCATATTCAGGCCCATCCTCCGAACAAATGCAGCACCGGAGTTTGCCCATAATCGACGATCCAGCCCGTACGTATCCACTGAGTCAATCTGCTGCTGAGGCCTTGACGTTGATGGTACTTCTCTTGGGGACTTTTGTTGGGGAGCATGATGTTTCCGTCGTGTCTGAAGCTCGTAGTGGCAATCATAGCCCCATTGACGGCAAGTACTGCAAGGCTCGGCGCTATCGCATTTTCTTTTGCGCTCTCGGCATGGTTCACATGCAATTCTGGCACGCTTTCGTTTCAAGTCGGATTGCGGCATATTTCAGCAGATTAAGCAGTTTCTGTGGAGATCCCGCAATTTCCGAGGAGAACGAAGGATAGGATATTGCGGGGGAGATGAGTGGGGAGGCCAGTGGATATTGCGGGTTTGTCCTGGAGTGCCTGAGGTCGCAGATATCTGATTCTTTTATCAAGTTCTTGTCGAGCATTGCTTTCCGTATTCTTTGCCCAAAACGTTACAAGAGTGGCTGCATTAGCGAATTCGGCTAAGTGGCTGTCTGTGAAGGTGTCAACAAGGACATACCAATGGCTGGTTTAGTGATGTTACTAGAAAATCATCCAATCAGACATAAATGATCTTCCAATTGCGCTTGGCACGGTTGGTAGTGGGCAATGCGGATATTGCGGATACTGCGGAGGTGCGGACCGTGATTCGTGACGTCGACGATGCCTCGGCAACTCCAATGATTCAAAGCAAACTTGTTCCCGTGCATCTATCTTTTCGCATTCACCGAATTCTAAATAATAATCTTATTGAAACATTGTTATCTCGAGCATCAAAACAATGGCAGCAAGCTTCCTATCACGGTACCCATGGGTATCCAGTCCATTTGTGGTCAGCGCCCCCATGAAAGTAATGTCCGGTCCAGCACTGGCAGTAGCCGTCTCTCGCGCCGGTGGATTAGGATTTATTGGACCTGGCGCCAAAACACAGGACACAAGTGATGATCTCGAGAAAGCATCATCGCTCATACGTCAAGGGGCCAGCACAGTACCGACTCCCGGCTCGACACTACCTGTCGGCATAGGGTATCAGCTCTGGGCTGATGACATTAATGTGGCCGTCGCTGCTATCAAGAAGCATAAACCATGTGCAGCCTGGCTATACGCCCCACGTCAGGGGCCCAAGGAATACGATGACTGGTCTAGCAAGATCCGTCAAGCATCTCCTAGTACCCAAATATGGATTCAAATTGGCACCGTGAAGGAGGCAAAAGAGCTTCTTCAAAACCTTGAGCGACCAGATGTTGTTGTTGTGCAAGGGGCTGAATCTGGGGGCCACGGTCGGGCAAAGGATGGAATGGGGCTTTTGTCGCTGTTCCCCGAAGTGGCAGATGCTATGGCAGGCAGCCAGATTCCTCTATTTGCAGCTGGTGGCATTGCAGATGGTCGGGGTTTTGCAGCGGCTATGTGCCTTGGGGCTGCGGGAGTGGTGATGGGGACACGATTCCTGGCTGCCAGTGAAGCACGCATTAGCCGGGGTTACCAGGACGAGGTAGTGCGTGCAGCTGATGGAGCAGTTTCCACCACGCGTACGCTACTGTATAATCACCTCAGGGGCACTTTTGGGTGGCCAGAGGAATACAGTCCTCGCACTATTTTGAACAAATCTTTTGTTGAGCAGCAGGAAGGAAAGTCTTTTGAGGAACTGAAGAGGCTCCATGACGAAGCTGTTAAGGCAGGCGACAATGGCTGGGGGCCCGAGGGCAGACTTGCAACATATGCAGGAGCCTCTGTTGGACTGGTACATGATGTGAAAGACGCAGAGGATATTGTCCATGGGATTCGAGAGGATGCACTGGAAATAATTCAGCGGCTTTGTCCCCGCAAGGACTAAAAAGCAATTTCAAATGAGGGTTGGCAAACATTCTTACTCTTTACATATGATCAAATGGATAAGTTGCGACCTCTTCACACATCCGTGTGGTAATGTCTTCGAACGTGTCGAGAAAGGTTGAAAAGAGGCCCAACTTCAAAGCACGGTCAAAGAGAAACAGTCCCATTGCCATTAAAGTCTCCATTATCCTCAGCTAACTCGCGCATTACCAGCTGTTATCCAGTTCCTCCAGAGCTACATCAATTTAAATACCATTTCCTCCAAGCTTGACATCCTCCACAACGACTATCACTGGCATAAATTGGCGTTGCAAACCCCAGAGCAGCATTGACTGCCCGACATACAGCTCATATTGTTCAATCCGCAAGTACCATCCCACTCACAGTACGCGTTAGTCTCATGTTGAAGACTGCACGACATATGCGCTGGGCAAAGCTTTTCAGCAGAGCACTGTGTGCCGCGAACATCCTCGTTTTTCATGCAGACCATTTCGACATTGGAACCTCCAAGCAAGTTCAAAACACGGGTAGGACGGCACCGTAGGCCAGAAGGACACTCAGAGTCCCGCAGGCAACGCAAGTTTTCTGCAGCAGCCATACACATTCCACTCTGGCAGTGACTGTTGACACATTGGCTGTCTTCCCTGCAAAGAGCGCCAACTACAGAAGTTCGCTGGCAGGTCTTGGTGTTTGAAGAGCAATACATGCCATACTCCGGGTGGGTTGATTGACAGTTCTGTTCACTGGAACAGCTGTCATTGGGGCAGCTACTTGGACTCTTGGTAGACGCGTGATCACTTGAGAAGACATGTCCCCGTCTGTCAGCAGGCGAGTGGATCGTCACGCATCTCATGCTTCTGACATGTCTGCCAACACCATCGCCAACTGCTCGTCTGAGTAAATTCGCATGGGGTCGAGTAAATGTGAACAGCTCGTTATTGCAAGAGTTGTCGCTAGATGATTCAGCACTAGTTGCTTGTATCTAGACGTGCTCTACTTACGAGTAAATTGAGCACATCATGTCTTGCTTGACCTCGGACGGGCATGGGACATAGATTGATCCAACGTTCGTGCGGCTAATACTTTGGTCAATGAAAATTCATTGGTATGCACACAAGGTTCAACTTACTACTCGGGCATGTTGTCGAAATTCATGCAATTACCATCAGACGCAACAGACATCCCCTTTCGACCGGCATTCATTGCGAAGTCATTTTCTTTGAAAATCATGGCCTATACATAGAATGAATAGATTGATCAACTGGCAACACACGTCATAGCCGTACCTGATTAGGGACCATCATGATCGGGGTGGCGGCTAGTGCCAAGGGCACAAGTGCAAGAAGATTCACAAAGCTGGACATTCTTGTTGATTGCAATGGCTTAGAATAGTCAATGGTGAGGAGTAGATTGAGTGCTGGATGAGAGGCAGCCTTTATACTCGGATTTGCTATCTGATCGTGCTAGTTTGCCTTTCAAGTTGTACCTTGATTTCTGTGTATTCCTTTCGCTGTCGGACTGCGATACAGAATATAGACCCATGTCAAGTCTGCATGCCGTATGAGCTAGATATCTCCCTTTGCCACAGATCCGGCATCACCGGGAAAGATTGATAAATCCAACGGTCAACTCACTTAAGCTTCACGCTGTGTACTTTGAGGTCTGGGGTTTCTGGGCTAGATCGTTTAGGCCATATCCGAGTCTTGCCTGCAAATGTGCAACCTTGGCTCATGTCCGGATGTCTCGATCTCAGTTCCGCACTTCGAACGTTGATTGTTGTCTCAGTTCCAGAGTTGTACACATATAATGTACAATATTAAGGACAATAAGGACGGGTCATTGTAGGACAACCTTATACATGTAGAACAAATTTTAGGCAAGATATACATTCACGGCTCCCTTGAGGCAGATAAACTGAGACAAGTGTTCGCAAAAGATTGTCCCTACCAGCAATCCATTCAATCATCTAAATTACATGTATATAGAGTATCGAGAATTCTGTTTATTGGCAGATAGTGACTTGCTATTCAATGTCTCCTCACGAACGTGGTGGGCGATTCCGTAGCTACCTAGCTTGGTACCTTGTATACAATCCACAGCACTCAGTTACACTGAAAAGAGTGCAAGAAACAACTAACTTGCAACATTCTCAATGCTGTGCCATGGATAGGGTCACCATCAATGGCTTACGTTCCCAGATATTGTAAGATTTCTGGATATTCCAAGCAGCTGAACTTTCATCCATAGTCATGTCAAAGCTCCAGAAGACCTTGGCCGCAATCAGACGCATTTCTGCATAGGCAAGACTATGGATAGGTACAATTAGTCCAGTCTTCAAAGATATTGAAAATAAAGACTCACTTTCTGCCAAGACAGTTACGGGGCCCAAGTGAGAATGGTTGGACTGCTGCCCGACGGTCCGACTCAAAGCGTTTGTCTCTGCTCTCCAGCCACCTTTCAGGGATAAAAGAATCCGCTTCGGCAAAATGAGACTCAGAATGATAGGTTGAATAGTGGGCCCCAGACACAGAAATCTGTAGAAGTCAATATGTATTGAAGATCACACTTGAAAGTAGAGACGTACATCCTCCGGAATGAATTGTCCATCGATCAATGCACCGTCTTTAGGTACAACCCGTGGAATGATAGACGGGACAGGTGGATAGACCCGTAAGCTTTCCTCGAGTGCTGCATTCAGGTAAGTCAGTTGACCGACTGTTTGGAAACCTATGTCTTCATAAGATTTGAATGATCCTCGGATCTCATCCACGAGTTTCCGATAGGCTGAGGGATTTGCGACGATATAATAGGTGAATCCGGAGAGTAGACTGGCGGTCGTTTCACTTCCAGCGAGAATTAACAAGGCAGCATTTGCTTCTATTTCCCGTATAGTCATGGACCTGTCATCATTATATCGCAAAATGTAAGTCATGAAATCCGGCCGTTCAACCTTGCTCTCCAATCGACGATGGACTTTGTTTGCTGCCAAGGCAAATGAGTCTTCTCGCATCTTCTTTTGCTTTTTCGGTAAAAGCATCCTGACAATGGGCGCCAAAAAAGGATAGACTAACAGTGGCCGTGATAAAGCAAAAACTTTCATGCTCATAAACATCATCTTGACCCAAGGGTGATATTGGCTTTCCCGTAAGCAGTCAAAGGGTTCGCCAAAGGCCAAGTCACCGATGATGTCAAAAGTGGTGAAGTTGTACCACTGAGACATGTCAACTGCTTTCCGTGATGACGAACTTACACCCTTCAGTCGCTCCACTAACATGTCAACATAAGACTGAACTAGGGGTTCTTGCTCCCGTAGGGCTTTTTCAGAGAAGGCATGCGAGAGCAATCTCCTTTCCCTTGAATGATCTTCATCATTGGCGTTGACAATGTTTGGCCCTTTCGGTCCCTGTAGATAGAATTTTGGGTCTTTTAGAAACGACCCAGCTCCGGATTTTCGGTGGCCGTAGATATCTTTCCATGCTTGTGGGCTGCGATAAACAAGAGATTTGGGAGCTGTCCGAACTACATCTCCATACTTATCATGGAGCTCTTTGAGTTTGTAGTGATACTGCCCTGTTGATGTCCAATATAGATTTTGGAGATTGGTACATGCGGCAAGTTTCGGTCCTGGAAATCTCGACAGTGGACTAAAGTAAAGGTTGTAAATCACTGTCCATAGAAGGTATCCTAATGGCTGGATTATCATCAGTCCTGTAACTCAGATGCGATAAATTGGAGCACTTACAGTGATGGCCACTAGATAGATTATGGGTATCATTTTGAACCCCTCGATGTCCGAATTCCAAGATACTACAATAAGGAGATGCAATATTTGGACGGACCAAGGGATATTTCAGGCTCTTAACAATCAAGCCGTTATGATTTGCAGAATAGGCCACCTGACCAGTAGCGCCAAATCACATGGGATTCCAACGTTGTGTTCGTTAGCGTCCATTCCGAGGTGCAGTTAAGCGAACAAAAACGCCTTACGCTATTTCTTTTGCTATAGTGTGCAAACCCCGGTGCTCTCGACTGACTAGAATTTACGCTCTTTCTTCCTCTTCATCCTTGCAGATCTTGCAGCTATGTAGACCATAGCTTGGAGATATGTGGAATATTCCAAGCATGCTACAATAGTATGGCGGCATATATGATATCTCATATGTTATATCTCGTATAGAGCTATCTGAGCCCGTCTCACTCTCTAGTCATAATTTGGGCACCATAGCCCGATATTCATAGTGACCCAAGGAATTCCGTCATCCAGGACTCATCAATCTCATTCAAAACCATGGCATCAGGGAGCATGGCATCAGATTGGACCATACCACGATCGATGCCGTTGTTAGCGGGTATGTTTGGACCCCATATTTCCATCAACTTCGGCTCCCAGTTCATTCTCAGGCCGTGAACAATTCTTAGTCCCTTTTCGAGGAGATTCATTTCCCTGCTTTCGTCGAAAGTGAGATATTCAGGGTATTTCCTGATGACGGCCTCGTTTCTGTTCAGGTATTCGAGAATATTCGCGGTGTCCCTTACCATACTCTTGGACCATGCCGGGTCTTCCAGAACGGTAAGTTTGTACAGGGTGACAATGGCTCGAGTGAATTGGAAAAAGATGATACATGATAGCTGAAGATAATCAACTCCTTCAATTTCTAGCCACACGTCTAACCAGCCTTTTGATGCTTGGAGAGAAGTGTAAAGGCTATCGAGGCGATGGAGATCAGGCGAATTTGCAACGGCGGGGGTTCTTATTGATAACTCATGGATTATAATTTCGGCATTGTACAGATACATGAGTATGACTCCTTTTTTTCTTGTTAGTTCTGAAAGCAGAGACCGGAGAGCGCTAGAAACCTACTGTTCTGTTGAAGGTGAAGCGGAATTTCGCTCTTCACTATGTCTAATTGTTTTTGGAAGGTATCCAGATAGAAGGCTAGTGAGATAGAAGCTTCCCCATCCCGCCGTAGTTGATAGACTCTGTCTAAAATCAAATAGATCTTGACTTGTACAACCAGGAGCTCATCTTGAGGGCACTCTTTGGCCTCGGAGAGTATTGAAAGACTTTCCTCCATGTGCGGTGTCCAGCGCATAGCATCAATCCTAGACATTGCCAATGCAGCGCTGAAAGTGTAGCTGTTAATTATTGTTTAGAGGGGTTTCTTTTGGATATCTGATATTTACCTTGATGAAATTAAGTAGCACCCCAGCACAGCCCTCCTCTCTTCGAGTGTTCTAGCTGTGGGTGGAGTTTGCTTCATTCCAATAGCGACTTTGAAAGCATGCATGGCTGAATACTCATTTGGTTCATGTTTATTGATCCCAAGCTCGGCGACAACTGCCATTAACATGTGTGCATAGACATTGAGAAATGACCTTTTAGTGTAGGTAACCCTACAAAGAAATCATAATGAGCAAATTGGTTTTGATAAGGGTACATTTCTTGCTCACCATGATACAAAAGTCATGATCCCAAGGAGAAGATCCATGCTCGGCGGAATGTCAAGCATAACTTTCTGATGAATATAGTTGGTAATCCTTCCGAAAGAGTCGCCTTTTTCTGGATTTGTCGGTGTGCTCACTTCCATGATGCACACCCAAAGGAATGGATATTTCTCTCGCAATTGGTCAGAGGTTATATTAGAGGGAATGTAGACAAAGGGAAGATATTGCAAGTTTCGAGTTCGGAATTGGTCGAGGTACTTCTGAGCCATGGCGGGTGGGACGTAGATCAGGGACAAGATCTCCCTGTCATACGAGGGTATGAGGTGTGCAGGGTTTCGTCTTTCCTCGGGAGTTGAATGAGAAGAAAGACTAGTTAAGGTTTGATTGATTGGTGCAGATTGGCTTTGGCCATCCTGTTGGACTGGTCCTAAGTTTACAGGTTCCCAATTTGGAGGAAGACCGGGGTTGACGCCACCCTTCTCAAATGCGGACATGATCCAATCAAGTTTGGCCTCGAGCTTGGCAGTATTAGAGCCCGATGGCGGTTTTTTACGCTTGCGGACTGTCTGCGCAGGCCGGCATTCCTTGCTCAGGCGCTGGCATCTACTCCGATGCTTAGTTCGATTTCCACACTCGCTAGCACGGCCACTCACCTTTCGCAGCCACTACCAGTTTCAGAAAGAATGCATTTGCACTTAGCGCGGGAACAGTTCAAACATGCGCTGCCATATGGCGCAGGAGTCCCACCTGGGATATGAGCGGATTTCATGCCAGGTGGGATTCGGGATTGGGAAATCAGATTGGGACTAGGATGTAGAAGGGTGCTTTCGAGAGCAGATGGGTACCTATTAATGCAATGATGATAAATAACAATATGCACCTCTCAACAATGTCAGAATCTCTGAAAAGAGGAGAAAAAAGGATAGGCTTACCCTTTCGGAGCGTCCCTTCAAACACAGTCGGAGTTAGGAAGTTGAAAAGTTGCGAAATCCGTGCTGACTCAGAGTATCCACTTCCCAGCCCTACCTAGGTACCTGAAGTATACAGAGTGCTAGTGATCAAGTGATACTGGAGGTGTGGTTTCTGACAAGGACCTGCCCTGCATGTTGAGTGCTTACGCTCGGAGCATGACGGCTTCTCGTGGCTACAGCACTTGCAGCATGTGGTCTCCTTCATTTGTGGGATTGGATGGAAAGACCGCAAAACTATGCACACAGGTAGCCAAGCATTTTACAAGAAAGCGCACAGGTGCTATCGTATCCTAATTTATGATTTGTCCAAGAAGGTAGACAAGATGTCCAGTTGCCATTGGCGCCGCGAACCCGAGTAAACGGGACACGGCTATAGACTAGATGATTCGAAATAATAGGTTCAAAAGACAAGACAGAGATTTCACAAAGCTCCGCCAACCAAGAAAACTCAGAGTACACTCCAAGTCCACTTGCTGGTTTCAAAATTGATATATCCCTCGTGCATTCCTCCTTTTGATCCCCACCACAAATCCCCCAGTCAACCCGACGCCTGAAACGGGACCTGCTACTCACAGCCGCTCAGTAGAGATAATCTACTGCTCGGTCTGGAAGTAGTTAAGGAGAACGGAGCGCTCCTGGGACTCCTCACCCCAATCCTTGACAACGACGCAAGAGCAGTTGACAACCTTGCGGGCGTTACCCTCACGGTCGAGAGTGCCTAATGAATAGAGCGTTAGCAAATCCACTCACAAAATGATGACGCCGTAACAATGGAGGGATAAAACTTACAGAGACCAACCCACTCGCCGAGCATCTTTCCGTCAGGAACCTTGATGAGGGGGATCTTGTGCTCAGAGCAGAGAGCGACAACGAGCTTCTTGTAAGCCTCCTCCTCGCAGCCCTCGTTCAGGACACACATGTGGGCCTCACGGCGGTCGAGAGCCTTGGCGGCCTCACGGAGACCACGGGCAAGACCATCGTGGATGAGGGAGACGCGCAGAACACCCTTGAGGGCGTCCAAGACGGACATCTGGCCGCTGCCGGCATCGGCAGAAACCTCGACCTCCTCGGCGGGGGCGATAGGGGATGTGGGCTCTTCTCCGTCCGACTAGAGGATTATTGTTAGTATAATGTGCTTCAATCATTCTATTGCGTGGATCGTTGTCGTGACTCTTGAGGCTTGGAATTGGACTGGGCCGGCGCAGCGCATATATTATACGGCCGACGAGGGGTGGCCTCTACTGCGGCGACGCAGTTGCTGTCCGCGATCATATCCATTCCAGCGTCTCAATTGCCGTGACGAAATCCGTGATGACATCTGAGTCGGGGTGTGTGTATGGTGTGAGAGGAAATCGTAGATGTGAAACATACCATTTTGTTGCTTGTTATGCTTGAAATCGGATGATCCTCGAAGAGTAGAGTTGTTGGAGAAAGAAATTAAAAGGTGGTGCGGGCGGGCTTGAAATTTCCCGCTATTTCGACTTTTTCGGCTGTCTGTGTGCCCTACGATTATGTCATGTGGTCCCCGCAAAGATAGTCACGTGATATGTCTATCCCATCTAAATCATGAGCCTTGGGGCAAGGACAAGTCCAGTTTGATGACACTCTTAACTTAATATCTTAGATCTCTAGGATTTGCTGTCGCACTATGAATGTCTATGCTTTTATGAGTTAAGTTGAGTCTGAACTTGGTGTTATTTGACACGGGATGCATGATTACATTCACGGCCACAGTGACTACATAAAGATATCACAGTAGAACTACCTAAGAATAGTAAAATCACCACTGAACGCAAGAGGTATCATAATCGTACAATCAGAATCCGCCCTGTACATCACTTCACTGGATTGCTGCCATCGCGCCGAGTCCCTAGCGAAAAGACGCTGAAAACAAAACTAGACGTATGTACTAGACCGAGAAGGGCCGTAACCATTGAGGAGCCCGGTCCCATTGGTTTCGACTGAGGATTCTGGGCCATGGCCATTGAGATGAGGAGCGCCGAAGTCTACGCCAGCCATTGGCGGCTCCGGATCGACGTGCATGCTCAAGAACTGCAGTTCTAAGCCATGCAGGTGGGGGATGTGGGGGACGAGGTCTGTGAAATCAGAAAGCTGAGATATTTGTTAGCTGGGGAACGTGACTTGCAAAGCTCAAGAGACATTACCCGGATCCAAAAGACGTGTTCCATCTCAAAATACTTGGGGCGCGTGTCACAATCCTTTTGCATGATCTGTCCGATGCTCGAGCTTTGGAATCCAACATCGTCTGTATGGGTCAACATGCGACGAGTGACTCGCCACAAATTCACACGTTGAGTCGGGGTCGCCTTCCGCTTCTCCCAGCTGGCGTATTGCGAAAGTTGAAGATCGTTAGTAGCCAGAAGAGGTGCAACCAAGTAGTTAGGAATCCACTTCTCGTCAGCGACATCCACACCACAGCTCGGATCAAGTTGACGAGTGAGAGCAGTAACGAGAGGCATGAAAGACTTGAGCCAGTCATGACTTTTCGCGCGGGGATTGTTGGAGCCGACTAGGTTCGCAGCAACACGAAGTCGACTGGGAAGTGCCTCACGGCGTCGATGCTCTGCTGCCTCGCGATCGCGGCGCATTTTAGCAGCTCGAGCGCGTTCTTGCTCCAACCGCTTCAAACGATCATCTTCGGCTTGTTTGGCGCGTCGTTGTTCAACCTCCTTGCGTTTCCGGTCTTCCTCTTCGGCTTTAGCATGGGCAACCTGAGCCGCCACTCGTTCGGCTTCTTCTTGGGCCAGTCGATCGCGTTCGGCTTCATCTGCGATGCGCTTTTCGTTCGCGGTGCGCTCCTCTTGTGCTTTCTTGGCTTGGGCTCGTCGACGCTCATGGGCTTCAATCTCGATACGTTTCGCGGCGGCCATTGTGTCTTCCATGGTGTCACTTCTGGGCTCATGAGATTCCTTTTTGGTATCGCCATTCTTTTTAACAGGATCTTGACGGGGTGAAGTTGGGCGGGGTGGGGGTTTCTTAGGAGCGTCGGAGGATTTGTGTGGTTGAGGTTCAGCAGCCCGAGTAGAGTCCTCAAGGGGTCGGCGAGGAGTGAGTTTGCTGGCGTCATCAGGTTGCCTTGGTGCACCATCTGTAGCGCTCGAAGACTTGTCTTCGGAGACAACGCGTCTCTTTTTTTTGCGCGACTCAGGAGATAAGCGATCAACATCTGTGCCACGTGAACGAGATCGTTCTGGGGATCCATCAGCGCGAATGCGCTTCAAAGACAAAGCGCTGTCGGGTGCTGTATCATTACGCGGCTTCGGTGCCTCTTCACGCCCAGAGAGCGAATCAGACGAGAAGAGACTGGGCCTACGCTCCTGAGGGCGACGTCCAGCAATGAGTCGTCTCTTTCGGGTGTCTTCGTTTGCTGTCATCCCACTAGACTCGCTGTCTCGTCTGGCGGATAACGAAGATTTAGGTTTAGAGGAATCCGTTGGCCGCGATGAATCGTGCTCCTTTTGACGGCGCTTTTCTTTGAAAGAATCCATGTCTTTCAAAGAATCGCGATGTCTGCTGGCGTTCGGGCTGGTGTTGATTTTTTTGCGCGCGACAGGGGAGGAAGAACCTCTGCGTGGCGGACGTTTCTCCTCCTTCTCTTTTCCACGAGCACGGCGGGGTGAGTCGTCCTTGCGAGCCTTGTCGGAACCTGCAAACCTTTCATACGCCTCCTTCAGAATCTGATACTCGTCCTCCCAATTCTCACCTTGTCGACCCCGAGACAATTCAAAATACGTTCTATCTTCAAACAGTCGTCGCGTGGGGTTGAATCCGGGTTGGTTTAGGATGAGCTGGATAACAGCGCTGTTACCTCGACCAATTGCAGCAAGCATGGGCGTGTTGTAACCCGCTTTTTGACCACGCAACGGATTTGGATCAGCATCTGCATTGCCCATAGCATACAAAAGAGAAAGGACATCATGGTGACCACCCTTTGCCGCAGCAATCAAGGAGGCATTGTCGGCTTTCTGCAAGATATTCAGAATGCTCACCACCCCAGCCTCGTCGCCTTTGGCAGCAAACTCTCGAAGGTTCTCGAATGTGGGTTTCGTCCACAGGAGATCATTTCTCGTGGCTTCGCTTCTCCCACCCTTGCGTCGACTTGCCGCACCCACTGGAGGGGGGCTGCGCATCGGGGGTGAATCTCGGGGGCTAGCAGCCGTTCCTCTGGCTGTTGACGCCCGTCGCGAAGAAGGTTCTTTACTCTCTGGTCGTGTATGTTCCTCTGAGCGTCGCCCAGGCCGCAAATTGGCCTTGGCATCAGCAAGCGCCTTCCGCATCTCTTCATACTCATCATCATCTACAAAGGATGGAACCAACTCATAAGGTTCATCGCCTTCTGCATTCACAGTTCGTGGGTTTGCCCCTGCATCAAGCAGAAGTTTTACCACCTCCACGTTCCCGTTTTCCACAGCATCAATCAACGGGGTGTCTTTGTCAATGTTTTTGGTGTTAATCTCACAACCTGCCTCTAGCAGGAACTTGACAATTTCAGCTTCTCCAGCAAGCGATGCGATCTGCAGGGGGGGTGTTGCCCGCATTATCGGGTATATTAATGTCTTCCGGTCGTTCGGCATGGCGCATCATCACTTGATCATGTTTCCGGTCCGCACACGCACGCGCAAGAGGAGTCCGGCCACTCTTGTCACGCAGCTTCTTCGGCCCCATTTGCTTAGCAGGCGACGCGGATGCACCGACTCCAGAGCCAAGCTTTCGCAAATGCGCCCCCGGCAGTGGAGAACCGCTCTGAGAGGAGGAGGTCGATTGTCTATCTTCAGAGCTATGCCGCCCAGAGCTTGTGAGCAGAGGCGTTGGTGCCTTTTTCTTCGTCGGGAACTGAGAGCCTGAAACAGATCGTTGGTGAGATGGTCGACTAGGCGAGACTGATCGCGAGTTGGATTGTGGTCTGGAAAACCGCGTGTTATTGGTATGCTTAAGTTCCCGCGCATGATGGGATGCTGCGTGTGAGTGTGCGCGACGACGATCTCGTTGTTCCTCGGCACTGTCACTTAAGCTTCGCTTGCGGAAAGCACGGGGTCTCTCTGATGCACGGGCGATTCCGTTGGCAACGCCTTCCGTTTCTGACATCTGAGAATCATCGACCTTTTCAATCTTGACCACCGACGGCGAAATTGCTCGGTCAGTTGGAGAAGGGGGGCTCCGTTCCTGTTCTCGTTCGCGTTCTCGGGTGTCACCAAACACACGCGGTTTCTTTCGCTGATGGCCATCGATGCCGTTAGGTTCATGACGACTGGGATCGTGCTTAATGTGCTTTCTTTTCTTCTCCGGCGACAGGGATTCTCGGCCTGATTGAATTATTGTCTCCGCCTCCGAATCCGCCCTAGGACTAGGAGGCCCATCTTCCTCCCCTTCTGAATATACACGTGTCGGTTCATCTCTGTCTACCCGTGGATGAGAGCTTGCACGAGCTTTCCCCGGTGATGAGATACCAACGGGGTCTGGCTTTACCGTAGCAAGCCTATTCTGACCGACGTCCAGGGCAGCTGGTAAAGAGGCTGCCTCGACATCACTCATAGCGATAGCACTCGAAGACTTGAAATACCGCTCGTCATTTTGGGGGGTAAACGCGACCGACAAAACGACCGTGGTCGACAACGCCAGCAGTTGTGCGCGGACGCCGATTCTCGATCGCGGGTTTCACCCGCAAAGAGAGTCTTAAAACGTGGGTAATACCGCTCCGGGGAATAGCGATAGAAAATGGTCGAAAAAGTTCGGAGATTGAATTTACTGGTATGAGTATATAGAGCGAGGGTGAAATCGAGGTATGTTGAAAGTTGAATGGGGGAAGAAAGAGAAGGGAAGAGGAAAAGCGGGAAGGGAAAGGAATGGGACTGGATTGGGCGTAGGGCTCCTCACTGGGTCAAGTTTTGGCCACGGTGAATCATAGCTGCAGATGGGATTTTGGCTACTGGAAAGGTGCTTGTAACTAAGAGGGGTCGAGGTTAGAGCTCATGGAGCTTTTCATTTCGTTCTCTTCTTCCTTGTCTTTTTCCAACTTGAAAGTCTTTCCTATCGAGGGCGAATATACTACGGGAAGACGATACGATACCGTTGATACCGTGATACCGTGACTAAAATGGGGGCACAGACCTCTGGGCGCTAACCCTGATTCAGAAAGTGCAAACCGGGCAAACAGTCCCAATTGCACTAGACCTAATACGGTCAAGTGGATTTGCCTCCAAAATCCTCCTAATCGCCACATCAGCCCATATATCTTGACCTGTCACAGAGTACCCAGTTGTATGTCATTGTTTCTAAAATTATGTACCTATACCTAGACTACTCCACTACTCCGTACTCCATACATATTGACAATGTATAGTACGTTGCTTGAGGACATCCTTATCTGTCGGCTTCGATTGCCCCAATCTCCAAGTTAATCCCGACGCCGAACTAACTCCCAACGACCCCGTTGGCGAGAGCTGAAGGATCGGCGGGGGGCTTTCTCCACAGTAAACACCTCCCTAAAACACCTCACTGATATCATCACAATATTAATGACACTAAATTGAAAACAATACGAAAACGAAACGGCGGGTAAAACAAGGGAGGAGGGAAAAAAAAAATCAACCCAAGAGCCATGTCTCTAATCTCTCGATGGATCGATAATACTTTGGAAGCCACCGGCATGGATGCCGTGGATGCTCTACGCGCGTTCTTCCTGCTGGCCGCCGCCACGGTACGATACGCCCTGTGATAGTGGTGATAGTGAACACCTCCTGCAGATGAACCCAACTAACGCCGACCCCTCTATGCAGACCTTCTCGATCAGCATCCCAACCTCATTGCGGTCCCGCTTCCTAGCTTATGGCCCACGCTCGACCTCGGCCTCGACCTCCACTAGCCCTGCACCACCTAGCGCCCAGAACCTTTCCACCGAGAGCAAGGGCTTCCTTGACTATCTCGCTACTTTGCAGGTGCCACATAGCTACTTCACACATTTCTACGTTGTATCTGTCCTGTCATCCGTTTTCTGGGTTGCGCAGTTACTCTCGCGGGGTGCGATGTTCCAGGCCATCGCATCCCGCGTGAGCGAGGACCACCAACGGCACTCCATGTCCCTGACTCAGTTGGTGATATGCTGTGTGCTGTTGGCTATACAGGGATCCCGGCGCCTATGGGAGTGCTTTATCTTTTCAAAGCCTTCGTCATCGCAGATGGGGTTTGCGCACTGGTTTTTGGGCTTGGGTTTCTATCTAGCGGCAGGAATTGCGATTTGGATCGAGGGCTCGGGCACTCTGTTGACCAAAAAACTGACCATTGCTCATTTGCAGATGACCAATGCCCCAAGTTTGCGGACTTTCGTCTTCATTCCGCTCTTCCTAGTGGCGTCTGGTCTGCAGCACGACTCCCATCACTACCTGTTCTCGTTAAAAAAATACACCCTCCCGGAACATCCCATGTTTCGCGGGGTTGTCTGTCCCCACTACGGCGCAGAGTGCATTGTCTATCTATCGTTGGCGCTGTTGGCTGCACCGCAAGGTGAATGGGTCAACAAGACTATGTTGTCTTGTCTGGTTTTCGTTGCGGTCAACCTAGGTCTGACAGCTCAGAATACCAAGCAGTGGTATGCGCAAAAGTTTGGCAAAGACTCGGTGCAGGACTGGTGGTTGATGATTCCTTATCTCTACTAACATAGAGCTAAAACATAAATAAATGCAGTGGAATCGAAAATGGGATACTCGTTACCTCCCACCTAAAAACTTCAAGGTATTCCCCATCTTCATAACATGAAGCACGTCCCTATACGTGAGACTCGTTCTCGTCTTCCGCTCATACCACCCACTCTGGTACGGTTCCCTCTCCCGCAAGAGCTCCCAGTTGCAGATAGAGTGAGGCCCCAGATCCTCATCTCTCGTCGTTTCCTCGATGCCATGCAAAAGATCGGTGTACATCTTGCACCTCGTGACCAACAGACTTCGTCTCTCCTGTAATATCCTGTATTGAGGTCTTCGGTTTGTGTCAGGTATCCCAACAACATCTCTTCGGGCCTTAGCTGTTATGTCGCTTTCTTCCCTGTCGCCCTGGGCATGCTTGTGGTACACATTGAGCACAATTGGGGCACCCAGACTCACTGTCGCAACTAGAGGATAGTACGCTGCTCCATCTTCATGTGGCATGATTCCCTGTCCAGGTTGGTACTCGTTTACTAGGACATGGTTGGGCGCCTGATGTGGCGCATCGTCGAAGATGCGTAGTGCCTCAAACCTTGGCTCGACAATCGGTGATCTAAGCCAGGTTGGTAGGGGCGATGCGAGAAGCGCATTGTTCTTTGTGAGGGCTGATGGCCATGTTTGAAGCCTGCGGTGCGAGAGCTGGGTCCAACGCGGTAACGGTGCTGATTTTACCTACGGATTGTTGCAGTGAGTGAGATCTGCGCATGACTAGGTGACATGCAGCATCTATGGATTGTTGAAGAGAAATGACATAATGAAAAGCACATAAATTCGTCCAATATTTAACAACAACAGCGTGAATCATAGTCATTAATAACACATGGTCATAAAAATAAATCATTGGCGCTTACCTTCTGAAGTAACCAATCCTCCTCGTCCTCGGTAATAAAATCTGAAATATAGAATGCATCCTCGGGCAATGCAGTGATGCGTACAGCTTCAAGATCGAATCCCATTTGCTTTCCGAGTTCGAGCTGGTACTGGATAGTCCCTAGTCCCCCAATATTGCTGACTTCAGTGGGGGTTGGTATCAGCAATGGCTATTGGTGAGAGGTTTGCACTGTTGAGTGTTGACGAAGGCAAATCAATAAAGATGAAAAGATGCCTGGCTTTGTATAATAATTCCATATGCATAACTCCATAGAGTAGAGTAGAAAGTCTACAATACACCACGTCACACCAACCCTTTCTGCCTTGCAGCCTCAGGCAGAAATATCCCACCCCACATCGGCTCAATCCGAGCAACCAACGGTCGAGACAGCGATAACAACATATTATTGAACTTCTCGTCTACAATGGCCCCCAAGAACAATGCCAAAGCTGCCAAGGGCAAGGGCAAAGATGCGTCCACCGATGACGCTAAGGGCAAAGGTGGAAAGGGAGGAGCTGTGAAAGGCGCACAGTCGATTAACGTGCGACACATTCTTGTATGTGCTTTTGCTCTTCTCTTTCTCATTTCAGATCCTCTGCCTCTGGTACTGGAAACTGGCCAATACACTACTAGCTCCTGTGGACAGGGGAAAGGGTCGCTATGTAGCTCATTCTAATCACGTCTAGTGCGAGAAACACGCCAAGAAAGAAGAAGCCCTGGAGAAACTTCGCAATGGCACCAAGTTTGATGAAGTTGCTCGTGAATTCTCAGAAGATAAGGCCAGGCAGGGTTAGTAGATCTCTGCGGGACGAAATGGACAGTGCTGATGTTTCTTGCTGTAGGAGGTGCGCTTGGATGGAAGACCAAGGGCGGCCTGGACCCTGCATTTGAGAATGTTGCTTTCGAGCTTGAGACTAGCACAACGGGAAATCCCAAGTATGCCGAAGTCAAGACTGGGTTTGGGTATCACATCATCATGGTTGAGGGGCGGAAGTGAGCTTCTTCGCATGACTTACGCTCTATAAAAGATAAACACCCACATCCAAAATATAGCAACAAGAGACCCGAAAAAATATGTAGAAAGATAAGCCACCCAAGGGCTATTACTTATGCTTTATAAATTTTGGGAATCTAAATGCTCTTCGGATGAAAGCTTATCTACGGAGCCTAGTATAACATCTCACAGTTCCTTCTTCGCGGCCTCAATCTTCGACTGCTCTTTCGCCTTCTTCTCTGATCTTTGTACTACTGCTTCAGCGCCAATGCCTCCGAACACCAGACTGATCCCCAGCCACTGGCCACCGGACAGAGAATGTCCAAACCAGAAAACGCTGAGGAGCATAGTCAACATCTTGCGTGTAACGGTGACAGTGACAAGCAGCAGTGAAGAGAAGCGAGACAGAGTGTGGAAAATGAAGAGCTGTCCAACAGCTCCGCACGCCGCGAACCCAAGGACATGCTTCAGTGCCTCTGGGTGGCGGGAGAGAAACGAGACGGCACCGAACAGCTCAGTCTCGTTGGATGGGGGAATGGGAAAGGGCAGGAGGTTATGGAGAACCCCACTTTGTGAAAGATGCGGCATAATCAGGAGGTACGCAGAAGTCAGAGTGGTCGAGAGAATATTCTGAGCGACCATCATCTGGGGACCGGTGAAACGGGTGTACAACTTAGGTGAGGAGAAGACGTGGTCCTGCGTGGTGTTGGTTAGGCCATCTAACAGGAGGTTGATGGACAACAGGAAAATGCCCCAGCCGGAGGATCCAGACTGATCCTTGGCAGCAACTTTCTTACTAGTTCCTGGGTGGTGCAGACTGAAAGTTGCGACGCCGAGAGTGACCATCAAGACAACACCGTATTTATACAGTGGGTATCTCTTACGGAAGATGGTCAGGTGAAGGACCATAACCGGGAGGAGCTTGCATGATTTGGCAAGGATGAAGGTCAGGTAGTCGATGTGTTGGAGACTGGCGTAGCCGAAGGGTGACGCAAGTGACGAGGAGATTGCGACTAAAAGTAGGGGAAAGAGGATCCGGCGTGTGGGGAAGATAGATGGGATCTTTTGGCCATTCGGAGTCGAGAACAAAAGGTATGTAAAGCCGGTGATGGCTGCGAAAGAGGATTGGACCGTGTTCAGCACCAGCGAGTAGGTGAACCGCTCTGTTGGAGGATTTGGCTCCGCGGCGGTTGCAGGACGAACGGGATAGCTGGTCGTCGTGATTGCCTCCTGTAGCACACCCCATGAGAGGCTTTTTGATTCTTAGTTTCTTGTTGCTCTATCTCAGAAGTCAGACGAAATGTGGGTGAAGCACTTACAATGCAGCATATATACCGAGGACGCAAATCACAAGTTGCGACAGCCCAGGGCTGTCGGCAATCGTCTCCAGGGTTGCCGATGCTTTTTCAGACACGCTTCCATTTGCGGCTGAAGGTGTGTTTGTGTTGCCACTTTTAGAATTTTGTGAGACACCGGAATCCTCTGAGAGATTCATCAATTGCGAAGAGGGGGCTCTCTGGAGCGGCGCTGCTTGCTTTTGTCGTCCCATTGCGACAAATCGGGGCGGTATTCAGCTTGGAAATGCGAGTAACTCAAACAAGAGGCAGTTTAGAGAATGTGAAATTGGAAATTGACACTGTGTCGAGTATAGTTCTAAGTTGTCACGAGGTTCGAGCCTCCTGGACCTGAAACCAAAAGAATAACAAGATGCCATGTGTTCTTACTTCGCCTTGTCTATGATCGCCCACCCCACACAAGTTTATGTCTTTTATTTTTTGAACTTTTGGTTTTCTTTTTCTTTTTTCAAACTCAAGATGAAAGGAAGAATCGACTGGACACTCCTCAAGTTATCTTTTTAAATATGTTTCTAAGCAACTCCCAAGCTTCTTATCTCAACTATACAGTCCAATCAAGAAAAGCGGTGTAAGTAAATCAGGTCTATCCGGGCGGTGAACCCCCAAAAATCCGAAGATTTGCGGTTTCTCGACCGGAGCTCCCTCCGTTCAAGCCTTATAAAACAAAAAGCTTCAAAATATCCAGAATGGCAGACAATCAGAAGGCGACCATTCGGCCTAAGGCGTCGGCGATCACCGAGCACATCAGCCAAAAAGGCTACGAGTCTCCCCACCTTGCAACATCCGCGCAAGTCCAACACAACCTCGAGCACCAACACCTCTGGACCTCTATGGTGGGAGATCTCATTCCTGGACAAGCAGACGACTCAAGCACATTAAGGAAAGACCCCCGCCAACCACCAAAAGAACCAATCCCTCTGCTTTCCGGCTACCCTCCACACCGTGTGTACACACATCCCGACGAGCAGCTGTACATGCTAGAAAACGGGATCCGCGAAGACGACCTTGAGCCAGAGCGCATGTTCGTGGTACCAACTACACAGGGTCAGCCATGGACCTTGCGTCATATGGCTGCTGTGTTTGATCGGCTTCCTGAGTTCAAGCACAAGGCTGAAGAGTATGATCGATCTGTCGATCCTACAAGCATGCAGTCCGAGGCGGAGGGACTGGATCCTCAAAAGACAGAGAAACTGGCTCAGTACTATGATAAGAAGGAGAAGGCTCGTCTGACCAAAGAATGGGGCTCGCAAAGGGTGTTGCTTGCTATGGTGGACAAAGGATTAGGTGGAGACGGGACGGTGGCGTATTATGTTGTGCATGAAGGCGAGGTGAAGCCGCGGCAGAACTGAGTGCGTGGAGCTGGATTGTCCTCATATGTACATAATGATACCTATTTGCATTCTTACCCCTCGCGGGTTAACGACATGATGTGACGAATACTTATTCAGAAGAGCAGTGAATTGACATTATCCATATGGTATCCAGATTACATTCAAAGGACAATTTGCACGATATGCGCCGGAATTATACACAATAGGGGTTGTCACATGATCAGCTAGCTACCGGGTATAGTAATAAGCAAGAAGAAGCAAGAAATGCTAAATAGGTGTGCAGAAGGCTTGACGATATGTTCAGATAGACGGTTAGAGACTGCTGTGCGAAGAAAATCAAGGAATTAGGTCACCGTGATGATTAGATATGACCTGTTCTTGTTCCATTCGACAGCTCGAGCAGTACTCCTCATACCATTGCTTGACGTTATCTGTGTGTTCGGCAAAAGCACGTTCGCCTTTGGCTGTCTCGGCAGTCGACGGGTTTTCGCTTTGGGTGGCCTCCCCGCGGAGAAGAACCTCGACCTGGCGGCAGCGCCGGATCTCCTCGCGGAGCCAACGCTCCCATTCGGTCTGGATGACCTCTTTCTCGATGCTGTTCACAACTCGCAATGCGACAAGAAGGTTGTGTCGATACACACCAAGACGCTCGCGGGTTTGCTGGAAGCGTTTGATGGCGCTCTTTGTCAATGCGTCCCGGGGACTCGATGTACTGAGCGACAGAGGCATTTCGGAATACCGCATGGTCTGCTCTTGGAAGGTAGCAAAACAGTTGCTGGCATTTCCGGTACTGGGCCAGATTGTGGAGTTTGCAACTGCATCATCAATATCCCGCATGTAGATAGATTTGCTCATAACGAGGTTTGGCTGTACGCCTAACCGTGCCATGAAGTTTCCTGCGTGTCTCTCGTGCCACCAGTCCCAACTATCCCGTGAGGAATAGTATCCATTCAGAATTCCACTTGCCGCCAACATGACCAGAATGACCTTGTGTGCACTCACGGTCTTCCAAGACCAGCGGACTGCGTCAAAGGCCCACATCATTAGGAAGGAAACACTAGTTTCGAGGAATGACAAGAAGGTCTCAAGAAGAAGCTCATGCATGGCACGCTGTTTTCGAGGCTTGCGGGAATCAAGCTTCAGATTGGAACCAGCGCCACTAAACCGGGAGACTTGGCTTTGACGTCCCACGTGGCCGAAGATCGTGATGGCCTTTTTGGTGCGACTGTGTGCACCCAGTCGACGTACTTGGTCACTAACTAGATCAACAAGATCTAAGGAGTCTTGTTCTAGATCACCGCTTGCTTTTTTGTCGATCACACCTGGGTATGTCAGCTTATCGTGCTCTGTTCAAATAGGAGAGTTAGGAGGATAGCCTCACTCTTGAGACCCCAGGGAGACCATAGCCATTCGACTTTCGTGTAAATAGCAAGCTTGCTCTTGGATTTGGCCTGGAATGTAATGACAACCTTGCTTACCAACCGGAACGAACGTCGGAAGGGGAGGTGCCATGGTGTTTTCTTGTCTGTGATCACGTAGCACAGATGGTCGTTGAGAACATCGATGATCTGGTAGTCCGAGATTGCATTTTCGTGGGTATTACCTATACAAAAATCAGTTACTGCGTGATATTAAGATCATCGATAGTCAAGCCTACCAAAGAAATCTGTCGTGTCGATGTTGTAGTGGAAATCACGCCTCAAATGCCGCGATTCTGTACTAGCCCATGGGCCTTGCTTAATGTCTTTGCGATGTCAGCCATGTATAAGTGATTGGGGAGCTAGAATCGACGAACCTCGAGCTTGCCTCTCATGTAAAAGAAGCTGCCACACGGCGCTTTTGTCGCCAAATAATATGTGAAACAAAGCTTTAGGGCTTACATCGAGAATCTTTTCGGCTACTAAAATAAGATCACCTTGTGGAACATACTCCACGGGTTGGGTTGGAAGTCTGAATTTGGCAGCATCTCGACCACGGCCAGTCCTGCCTCCATCCAGCTCAAGATCTTTGTCAATGTAGATAGGGAGTCGAATGTCCTTTGCAAGACCCAAGTCTGTAGCCCTGCCTCCATCTTGTTTGATGTCTGCAAGTCCAGAAGAGAGGTCTTCCCAGCTATCTGCACTGGAATTCCGGGCTGGAGATCCAGTGTCCATCTTGATCAGTGCTTTGATCAGAGATTCTAGAGACAATTGCTCGACGGCAATGGAGCCTTGGATCAAGAAGTTAAGCCGTTTCTGAAGAAGTCGAAGGGGTTCAAGGAAAGTTTTGATCGTAACCCGACCAGGAGTATCACTGCCGAGGGGTGGAATAGTATGAAGGAAAAGGAAGTCGCAGTCTCGCCCAGGAGCTGCAGTTACCTCCTTAATGCTCTCCAAAGACACGCCGGTAGTCAAAACCAGTCCGAAATAATGACTGTAAAAGTAGATGTTCCTTGCTGTGACATAAGCTCGTCCGGGGAACTCTTGCTGATCGTTGGGGCTCCAGGTAGCTCTGAACACCAAAAGTAATGCGTCTTCTCTCTTGACATCTGGGAAAAGCAATCTGAATTGAGCATCTTGAATCCTCAATTGTTGAGGATAGTAGCTGGGATATTCATGCCCGATACCCAGTGCAACTTGCGTGAGCTTAACATCATCTCCATCAAGACTTACTGTCTGTCTGTGGCGTGGGCCTGATTGCTGTCTGGGTGCCGCTAAAGTACCTGCTGCATCTGGTTGCGCAGCGATGGCGTCTTTCGAGGTATCACTCAAGGCGGAGGACTGCTGGCCTCCTGGGGTGTCATCAGACGCACTATCGATCTGGTGTTGTTCCCGTTGAAGCTTGTTCATGAAACCCCAATTGGAGCTACCCCACAGGTTCGCCATCATACCACTGGGCATGCCGCCTGTGCTATCAGAGACACCTAATCCAATACCTCTTTCATTGCTCACAACCACTGCCGCCTTGCTCATGCTTGTTGGTGCTGGGGGATTGGCGAGCGTGGCAGGTGCAAGGCTTGAGCCAGGCTCATCCACGTTGCTAAGACTGCGACCTCGTTTCCCAGCATCGTCACTAACGTTGAGTGAAGCGGTGGTGCTGTAAGGGAGAATATTATGGCTGGCAGATATGAGGCTCGCTATTCCACCTGCAGGGCCCGGGATAGATGGAGATATGGGAGCCGCATTGTTCGACTTCCGGTGAAGATCCAGCTTTTGGATGAGTCTAGAGGTATGCTCTCTTGCATGTTCTCTTGCGGAGCTCTCACTATCCAAGCCTGTGGGTCTTCTACCGCTTCCAATGTCGGTACTGTTTCTCATAACATGCCCATCACGGTCTGGAACAGGAAGCGTCATACTGCGATCTCCGCCTCCGGATTCATCGTGCGCATTGGGGGTGAGGGAGTCCGCAGGATCTGCCGCGAACTCGGAAGCCGGAGGCTGAGAAATTGAAAATGCAGGGTCTTGAACTGCGACTTTTCCAGAAACAGAAAGACCAGTGCTCGCGGGATTTTCCAATGCCTTCTGCTTGGCAGCCTCGAAGGCACCAATCCATTCCATCAGCTCCTTCTGGTTATCTGCCTGAAGCAGAATCGTGTTATTTTTGGTCTTCACTTGGAAGCAGAATCGGCGTTCCTCCTGAAATGCAGGACGAATACTACAAAGCAGTACACCGATTCGATCACTTTCTTCAACGCCGCCAGTACGAGAGCCCTGTACAAGACACCCAAATATGCCGTTCTTGAGAAAGGCCCACCGTTTAACCCACACGGTGCGAGTAGGCTTTCCTGACAAGGTGCGCAAATACAGCCATCCTTGCTTTTCTGGTCGTATCTCTTCACTCACATTAAGCGTCGAGATAGGACGAGAGCCAAGGTATGGGACAGT